CTCCCATCAGCCAGGGAGTTACGAAGCAAGCAGGGGCTGATTCATCTCTGAGTCCCTGGTGGCCCAAACTGGTCCTGGAATTGTCAGCCTCACTCAATATTGAGACTTAAAACAGAGAATTTTGATTGCACAATTGTGAATATGCTTAACACCACCTAACTCCACACTTAAAAGTGGTTAAGGGCTGGGAGCTGGATACGTGCCTGTAATCCCATCTACTTGGAAGGGAGGCTGAGGCAGGAGGATCACAAGTTCTAAGCCAGCCTCAACCATTTAGTGACACCCTCTCTCAAAAATAAAAGTAAAAAGGACTGGGGATATAGCTCAGTGGTAGAGTGCCCCCGCGTTCATCCCTGTGCCAAAAAAAAAAAAAAGTAAGGATGGTGCGTGTGGCTCTGTGGTAGAACAGTATTTATTTGCTTTCAAGAGGGTTCCATCCCCAACATCAAGAGAAAGTAGGAAAAGAAAAAAAAAAAAAAGATTAAAATGGTAACTTGTGCTACATGTAGATGTTATGGGTTCGTATTTTATCACAGTATGTTTTAAAGTAAGAAAAATGTAGAGTCAAACTAGACTGAGACACCACCTTCACCTACCAACGGGCAAAATTCAAAGTGTCTGTTAATACATAATGTGAGTAAGGCTGTGGACAAGTGAGTACTACTTCTGCAGAGGTCAGTCTGGCAGTGGATTCCAAGGGCACACATTACACATACCCTTTGACCTTGACATTCCACTTCTAAGATTTTATCCTATAGATAAGCTGACCCATGGGCAAAATAATAGACATTGGAAGTTTTTTTTTTTTTTGGAATCAGGGATTGAACCCAGGGGTGCTTAACCACTGAGCCACATCTCCAGCCCTTTTTGTGTTTTATTTTGAGACAGGGTCTCATTGAGTTGCTTAGGGCCTTGCTAAGTTGCTGAAGCTAGCTTTGAACTTATGATCCTCCTGCCTCAGTCTCCCAAGCCACTGGGATTACAGGTGTGTGCCACTATGCCCGGCCGTTTGAGGTTCTTTTTTTTGGGGGGATACTGGGGATTGAACTCGTGGCACTCGACCACTGAACCACATCCCCAGCCCTATTTTGCATTTTATTTAGAGACCAGGGTCTCACTGAGTTGCTTAGCACCTCCCTTTTGCTGTGAAGCTGGCTTTGAACTTGCCATCCTCCTGTCTCAGCCTCCCGAGCCATTGGGATTACAGGCATGTGCCACAGCACCCAGTTTGAGGTTCTTAACTTCAGCATGTTTCAAAAGCTTAGAAACAACAATGTGTAAGGGATGGAACTGGTTAAATCATACCCCAGTTATGGTATGATTTCATACAATCAAATAGTATAGTATGTAGCTATGAAAAAGGAGACTGCTTATGTACATGTACAGAATCATCTCTACAATCTTGTTTTAACTTAAAAAAAAAAGCAAGGTGCAGAGTGACATGTGTGGAATGCTGCCATCTGAGTGGCGGGAAAAAAAGCTTAGTTGTATTTCTCTGTGCATAAATTATTTCCAGAAGACTGCACAAGAAAATGGTAATTATGGTGACCTCTGAGGAGGTTGCTGAGGGGCAGGGAAGGGCAGGAATAGGAAAAACTTGGTTTCCAACTTATATTCTTTTGTATCTTTTAAATTTTATGCCACGTGCATATGTTCTTCCAAGGAATACATTAAAATTGTATATATTTGTGTGTGAGCCAGGGATTGATCCCAGGACATTGGGCATGCTAGGAAATTGTTCTGCCACTGATCCACATCCCCAGCCCCCAAATAAATAAATAAATAAGGAAATATAAATATATATTTACATATGTGTATACATATTCAGATATATACATATGCATGTACACACACACACACACACACATATATACATAATTTTTTTTTGCAGTATTGAGGATTGAACCCAGGGTGCTCTACCACTGAGCTACATCCCCAACCTTTTATTATTTATATTTTTGAGACAGGATCTTTCTGACTTGCAGAGGCTGTCCTTAAATTTGCAATCTTCCTGCCTCCGTCTCCCAAAATCATGGAGATTACAAGTATGGACAACGCCCCCGGAGCCTGTTGAAGTAAGCCAGATAGGACATGGCCTTGGCTTGAACAAGGAAAAAAGTTTGGAAGCAGATCAAAGTAGGTGGACTTGAGATTTCGGTTGGAAGTGGAGTCCACAGGTCTTAATTTGGGGCTTGTTAGGTAAGAGGGAAGGATCTCTGTTTCTGTCAAGCACATCATCTCAGAGGAATGGTGAGGCCATTGGTTGAGATGGAAAGATGAGGTCAGGAGAAGGTTTGGAGTAGGAGAATCAAGAGCCTCGTTTGGGATCTATTGCGTTCGAGATGTTTTTTGGACGTAGAGAAGACTTCAAGCAGGAAGTTGGATATGGGAGTCTGGAGCTCCCAGGAGAGGTCTAGGCTGGAAATATACATTGGTGAGTCACCAGCATATAGATGGTATTTAAAGCCATGAGACTGGATGAGATCACCTAGGGAGAGAGTATAGTTAGAAAAGAGAAGACCCAAAGATGAGCTGGCGAGAGAAGAAATCTCAAAAATTGTCGAGGGTGGCTCCTGTGCTCAGAGTCAGGGATGGGGGCACCCTGCTGAGAGAGAGAGAATGAATCAAGAAGTAACCATTAAGTTTGGCAAATTAAGAAGTCACTGGTGGACTTGACCAAAGTGGCTTCAGTGGACGGGTGGGGATGAAGTCATATCAGAAGAGGTTGAAGAATACATTCACGGTGAAGGAGTGTAGACAGCAAGTGTAGACCTTTACTAGAATGATGCGCATCCATCATTCCATGATCCCAAGGGGAAGAAACACATCCTGGTGATTTTTTTTTTTTTTTTTTTTTTTTTTTGTGGTGCTGGGGTTGAACCCAGGGCCTTGTGCATACAAAGCAAGCACTCTACCCACTGAGCTATATCTCCAGCTCTGTCCTGGTGATTCCTATAGAAGTCAGAGATGGAGTCCAGAACCCAGGAGGGCTCAACCACTAAGCCCTAGTCCCACCCATCTCCCCCCTTTTTTGAGACAGGTTCTCACTAAATTGCGGAGGCTGGCTTTGAACTTGGGATCCTCCTGCCTCAGCCTCCTAGACTGCTAGGATTACAGGCATGCGGCACCATGCCTGGCCTTCAGTACATTTACTTAATGGTTAGATAAATAGATGAACAGATAATCCGCTCATTCAAAGGTCTGGTGGAGAGAGCAGCAGTACTCTGTGGGGCGGAAACAGGAACCATCCCCGCTGTCCCTCCTATGCCCTGTGACTTCGAAGAGATAAGTGTAGGGGAAAGCAGCCCATAGGAACCAGTTCCAAGGAGGCTCATTCAAGTTATTTTTCTCTCCTCTTTTCCCTGTTCTTTCCTCTCTGGGCTTTTTTGTTGTTTAGGAAATACAAGCTATTGTGGTGAGACTCCCAGCTTGCCATGTGGGGAACAGGCAGGCTGGTACTTTGAGGTCCCCAAGGCAGAGAAGATAGAGAGGGACCCAGTGGAGGAAGGAGTGCCATCTGTGGGACAGAGGCCCCCACACAAGCTGGACATGCGCCTGGCTTTGGGGCAAGCCAAGGAACTGGGTCTCTCAGAGACTGTGGCAGAGACAGGCATTTGTGTATTAAATCCAAGGAGACCCTCAAATGTCCTTAGCCAGGGTGGGCTGGAACATGTCTGTGACAGACCGACCTACCTGCCAATCAGAGGAGAGCTAACTCTTATAAGCCAGGATGAGGGCACAGGAGTGACTATGGCTGTTGGAAAGTGACCAAGAGAGACTGTGGAGGGGCCCACCAGCCACCAAAGGGCAAACAGAGATACAGAGGAGTCTTCAGAGGCTCTGTGAATGTCCAGGAGACCTGCCTTGGAATGGGCCAGAGGAATTCTTCTGACGACCCCCCAAGCCACCAGTCCCCAGCTGTCCCTTTTCCTACTGCACCAGATGCAACCTGTGGGAAAAGCAGGAGCTGGGGCTGGAGGTGCAGCTGTGCCTTCCCTGGTGAGAAGAGGCGAGGTCGGCAGGCCCGGACACTGCTGCCACCTGGTGGGCAAATCCTGCTATTTCTCTTGGTCGTGGATTCCAGACTCATTCTCTGCTGAGCACTAAGGTTTGGAGGCGGGTGGGAAAGACCCCTGTGTCTCTGAACTTGGGGACACAATGCAAGCAAGGGGGAACCCCAGAAAGGGAAATACACCTCCTAGGAAGTGTATTTCCCTCATTTCACCTTTTGTGCTGTTTCGGTCTTCCATTAGTGGGACAAGGATACCTACCTGGTAGGAAATTGCAGTAGTTAGATGAGTTGCTTTATGCAAAGTACCTGTCATATTAATAAACACTACCTGTGGTTGACCCAAGGGACAACTGAGGTGTGTGTAGCCTTGTCTCCCACCCCAAAAATGTGCCTGTATATAAATCCATGGCCCTAGGTTTTGGAAAGATAGCCCCACCCAGTCCCAACAAAATATAAGTTCTGGAGCCACCATTATTATTTTTTTATTTGTGTATTTATTATTTTTTGTGGTGCTGGGGATCCAACCCAAGGCACAGCACATGTCACACGTTCTGCCACTGAGCTAACCACCACTCTTTGTTGTTGTTGTTGTTGTTGGTACCAGGAATTGAACTTAGGGGCACTCAACCTCAGAGCCACATCCCCAGACCTACTATGACAGGGCCTCACTGAGTTGCTTAGTGCCTCACTGTTGTGGAGGCTGGTTTTGAACTCATGATCCTCCTGCCTCAACCTCCTAAGCTGCTGGGATTACAGGCCTGCACCACGACACCCAGCGGTCACCACCGCTCTTACTGTCTTATCAATCACATTGTCCTAAACTCGGAAGGCTCTGTGGGCCCCAACTGCTCCCATTCTGCTTCGGGGTTTGGGGGAATGGTCCAACTCCTAGCACTTTGCTCCCTCCTCTCCTGTCACCCCAGAGTATGACATCAGAAAGGGTCTGAGCTGTGACATCATAGAGCCCTACCCTGTAAAAGAAGGGGTCATGAGGCGGTGGCAGTGGGTACCCATGTGGGTGTGGCTGGCTGGACTGGGGGCCATAGAAACAGGTGGGAAGCTCCCAGTGAGTGGAGGGGAGAAAAGAGGCTGGGGGACAAGGGACAATGCCCCCAAGGAACTCGAGACCAGCCCCGGGCCTTTCTCTCCCCACTCCACCTTCTTCTCCCATCTGCCCCGTCTCAGCCAGTGTTCGCCCCTCGTGGGAGCGCAGCTGACCCCAGAGGAAACAAAATTGAGTCGAGAGTCAGCCTCTGCCTCTGGGGTCAGGGGCAGGGGTCTGCTTGGCTGTTGTCACAGACTTTGCTCTGGACCCTAGCGCCCAGCCCAGAGTTGGCCCCAGGATCAGAGCCTCCACTCTTCATAGACAGACTTGACTTCTTTGATTACCCAGACTCGGACCAAGCCAGCATTCTGGCCGTGGCCCAGTTTATTGGAGAGAGGCCTGTGGTCTTTGTTAAATCAGGTATGACCCAGTTTGGGACAGGGGCCTCCCTCCTCGGGGGCTAAAGGAGAGCTGCCCCTGACCTTCCTTGTCCGGCAGGTTCTAGCCCTGGGCTCTTCAATCACATCCTGGTGGGAGTCCTGGTGGTGGCCTTCCTCTTCCTCCTTTTCCAGTTCTGCACCCACATGTGAGGCCTGCCCCATGCCCCTGGCCCTACCCCTCAACCTTCCTAGGGAGAGGAGAGGTGGGAGGACCCAGGTCTGGGGGAGGCGGTATGATGGATCACCTTTTCCAATGACCTCTGTACCCCATAGGAGCTTCCAGAAAGGGGCCTAAGGAGCCACAAGGGCCCTGGACGCAGCCTGAGTGCCCAAATCCACCCTCCTCTGCTGATAAATAAAGGTCCTGGCCTCCTCCCTCCCTGACTGCTCAGTGACCAGCTGGGGTGGGGTCGCTGCCCTCTCTTTGGTCATTCTGCTCCACATTCCCCAGGTCCCCACCTCCTTCCTTCCCTGCCCTAAAGAACTGGGCAAAGACAGTCAAGGTGGCGTTCACGCAGACGCAGATCGTCTTTATTAGCGGTCTGTAAAGCACCTCCCAGGGTCCCCCGACCCCAGATTGGAGGAAGCCTTGAGAGGTCTGTAGCACCAGGGACATGCCAGGGCCCGAGGGCAAGATGTGCAGCCTGATGGGAAGGGGCTGGGTGCCCTTCACCGGCCCCCCGGGGTTGCTCAGCACTGGGAAGGCTGGGGGTGGGGGTAGCAGCCACCTCCCTCCCCACCCCAGCAAATCAGTTTGAATTTGAGTGAATAAATAAAATCCCTCAGGCCGGCCTCCCTGGAGAGGAGCTGTGAGGCCGCAGCCAGCCCTCAGGAGGCCCGCGGGGTGAGTCAGGGTGTCCCCTCTCTCCCAGGTGACCCGGGAGCAGAGAGGGGTTTGCAGCAGAGGGGCTGGGATGTATGTCCTTGGCAGCAGGCCACCCCCATGTCCTTGACTCCTGGTCCCCTTGAGTCCCTATCTCCCCACAGGCCCCCCAGCCCTCGGCAGGTAGGAAGTGCGCTCCCTTCCCCTTTCCTGGCTGTCCCAGCGCAGGGGGTGCGAAGGGGCTCAGCCTGGCTCCTGAGAGAGGTCCCCTCTCTCCCTGCCTTGTGGTCACCTGCTCCTGTTCTTAGCCCCTGAGGGAAGATGCCCCTCCCCCTCTGAGTCCATCGGTCAGTCCTGGGGCTGTCAAAGCAAGGGGCCCCTGGCTCCCAACCCCCACCCACTAGCCCCAGAGCCCTGTCCCCAAGGGGGGTGCAGGTGGGGAGGGTCCCCAGGCCCCACCCTCAATCCTGGGTCTGACAGGGAGAAGGTGGCGGGGAGCCTCGGGGCCGGAAGAGGCGGCAAGCCCCGCGGCAGATGAGGAAGAACCAGTAGAGCTGGGGGGCGAGCAGCAGCGCGGCGCCCAGGTTGACGTGGGCCGGGATGGCCAGGGGCACAGCCAGCAGGGGCAGCCCGGCGTGGCGACCGTAGGCCCAGTACAGGTAGGGGAAGAGCAGCACCCGGCAGCACAGGAAGCTGAGCAGCATCAGGGCCCCGTTCACCTTGTGCAGCAGCGTGTGCTGCTGCTTGTACTGCGGACAGAGCACAGGTGACAGGGCGGGGAGCAAAGGCCCTGTCCCCTCTGCGCACCCCCTGTCCATCTTCCCGCAGGTCAGAGGCCTCAGAACAATCCCCCACCGCTGCCTCCCCTCCAGCCAGCCTGCGTCTCCTCCCACGCCTGACACTGCACCTGGCGGCCTTTAAAGAGCCCCAGAGGGTCCCTGAAAGTGCCTGCCCTGCCTGGGCCCTGGGATCAGGCTCCTATGCCCTCAGGTACCCTCTCACCTGGATGAGGATCTTGCCAAGGCAGACAAAGGGGGTGCTGACTTCTGCCATCAACATGCAGCCTAGAAAGAAATCTCCCTTCCCCTGTCGCCACACCTGGGAGGAGAGGCAGGAGGGTGAGGGGCAGCCCTTCCTCTCCCCCATCACTTAACTGGCGCCTTGCCTCTCTGCATCCCTCCTAGAGTCCTGCAGGTAAGATGGCCCCTCACACCTCAGGGGAGGAGACAGAGGCTCAGAGACACGCAGCAGAGGCTCCACAAAGTGCCACAGCTGGGCACGGTCCTGCTGGGCCAGGCTGATTCTAGACCTTTGTGCCTCCTGTGACCCGGGCTGGGCTGGTGCCCAGGAAATGTCCCTCCACCCCATCCTGCTGGGAGGGCCCCCAGGCCCCTGCAGCTGGTGTGATGTGAAGGACAAGCACCCCCCTGCGCCCCGCCAGGCCACCTGGCTCTGGGAGCACTCACCACGGAGACGGGGAAGCACACCAGCACCATGACAGCGTGGTGGAGCACCATGAGGAACTCCTTGTGCAGGTAGCCTCGCACCACGGCCCAGGTGCTGCCCGGTGCTCTGCGTCTCCCGTTGTCCTCTCCATGCCCTTTGACCTGGTGCTTGTGCCAGTGGCAGAGGAACATGGCGTAGATGTCGTAGATGAAGTAGGGCACTGCAAATTGCGTGTAGGCGGAGGAGAGCCAGTGTCTGTGGGGCAAAGAGAGGGGGAGGGATCAGGAGAGGGAATGGATGGCTCCTGGTGCCACCAGCACCCGATGCTCCACCAGAGGCAGATCTCAAGGGACGCCCACAACCCTGAGATAGAAGTGAAGTCTCAGGTGAGAACACAGTGAGTTATGGATGATGGAACCGAAGGGTGGAGGGAAATAAACTTGCCCAATGTCATACAGTCACACAGCTGCTGAATGTTGGGGCTGGGATTCAAACAGACAGACCTCAGAAACCACCATGCTGCGCTTGGGTTCTCTCTCTCTCTCTCTCTCTCTCTCTCTCTCTCTCTCTCATATACTTGGGGAAAAAGAAAAGAAGACCAGGAAACACCTATAGATCAAAGGGCAGAGATGCAAGATATGAAGAGAATCAGATTAGGACAAAGCACACAGGAAGTAAAGACCTATGGTTGAAGACCAATTGCTCATTTAGTACAGCCAAGTACTATACTAATATCGAAATCTCTACACTGTGTAAACTTATTTACTCCTCACAAAAACCCTACAAAAAGCCATACATGGTGGCACACACCTGTAATCCCAGCAACTTGGGAGGCTGAGGCAGGAGGATCACAAGCTCAAGGCCAGCCTCAGCAACTTTGTGAGGCTCTAAGCAACTTAGCAAGACCCTGTCTCAAAGTAAAAAAAAAGAGCTGGCGATGTGGCTCAGTGGTAAAGCGTCCCTGGGTTCATTCCTTGATACAAACAAACAAACAAACAAAAAAACCCACCATAAAAAGTAAGCATGGCTTTCATCCCCATTGTACAGATGAGGAAACCGAGTTACAGAAAGGATAAGCCAAGGAATAACCACGGGAAGCTCTCTCTCTCTCTCAGCCCACAGGCAAGGTAGAGGTGCTGCCAGTGCTGCTTGTTCTGCCTGAAGGTGGCCTGATTGCTTGCTTTTTCAGGTCCTGCCAAGCATTAAGAAGAAAATGCTGAGCAAAGGTGCCACGGACAGAGAAAGTTCTACATATATTGAGAGTAAACAAAACCCGAGAAGCACGTGGATATGCAACATTGCATTTTTCTTCTTGAGTCAGCACAGTGGCACTTTCTGCAGTCCTGAGACAGGTCTAAGGTGGGAGTGGAAGGTCCAAAAAGCAGGCCTGGGGGAGCCTGCCCAGCTAGCCAGGGGACAAACACAAAGTCAGCTAGAGGCACTTCATAGAGAAAGAGCCAGAGCCACACGTGAGGAGCTCCGGGGGTAGAGGTCAGCTGAGGACAGGGGGTGGTCCCTGGGAAGGCTGGGTGGGAAGGGGCCAGGCAGCCCACTGGCACCAAGATGATGTCAGGGAAGAGGACTTGAGACCCATGGCGCGGTGGTTCTGGGCATGAGATGGGAGAGGCAGCTGGTCAGAAACAAAGGGCAAGTAGTTCAGGGAGAAGGTGGGAGAGGACCAAACTGGCCTCAGAGAAGTTATAGCAGGAAGTGGTCCAGAGAGCTGGCCCAGTAGACATGATGGGGATGGGACAGATGGGACCTTGGAGTGTGGGGGAAGAGGCAGAGGGGCCCCAGGCCCTGGGATGCCATGTGGAGTGTTAAGTCCCATCCCCACCCTCTCAGCAATTAGGTGCTCAGAAGTAGGAACAGCTGTTGCCCCTGGATTAACCCTGATCCTCCCTACCTACCTGAGGATTAAAGGGGGAAGGAGGGACAGGAGCAGACCTGGAGGAGGGGGAGGAAATGCAAGAATGGAAAGGTGACCTCTGGGTAAGAAGGCATGAGAAAGGGACTCGTGGAAGCCCAGGCTTGCCTTGGACCCTGTGGCAGGAAAGAGCATGGAGAAGGCGGGAAGAAGCCAAGTCTCTGGGCTGGGTCTGAAGAAAGAGTTAAGCCAAGAACTAACTGTTCTACTCACTTCCTTACAGAGGAGAGAACTCACCCCCAGGAAAAGAGGAGGCAAAGAGAGAACAGGGGCACCTCTAGATCAGGGTCATCCAGACAATATCACCTGGGTCTCCAGGGACATGAGGGAAGGAGAGCAGAACCAGTGGGGCAGGTGTCACGGGCACCCTCGCCGCAGGCAACTTGCAGCAGCCTGTGGTCAGCCAGGACAGGCTGGTCAGCACCATGGACAGGGCCCATCTCCTCCTCCTCCTCCTCCTCCTCCTCCTCCTCCTCCTCCTCCTCCCTCCTGCCCCACCTCTCCAGCCTGGGCCTCTCTGGCAAGCACCAGGCACTGCAGCAGCTGCCTGTGCCAAATTTTGGCCTGTTCGCCCTCCCTTCCCCTTCCCCCACTGCCTGACCTCAGTGGCCTCGTGTGTCATCTCTCCTCTCTCGGGAGCTGAGGCGACACACCTGAATTCTGGGAGGAGTTAAGGGGTGAGCCCGGCCTGAGAGGAGAGCACAGCAGTTGAGTTTGTTGGAAGGTGGGTCTGAGGGGTGGTGTAGGTGGAGACAGAGGAAGTGACATTCAGAGCCCACTACAATACAAGAGGCCCGGAAGCTGACCAGGAACGCTTTGAGGGTTCTCTTTGATCCCTACTTCTGCTCTCCTGGTTCTGACCTTTGAGGACAAGACAGGATAAATTTATCCCTGGTGTTGAGTTGCAGCTGTGGCAGTAAAACTTGCTCAGGCCCAAGTGAAGAGCGTGGGGACCACTGGTGGCTCCCCAGAGGATCTCGGGTATTCTGGGATCACACACATAACAGAGGAGGGACTTGGGCAGAGGTGGGTGCGTGACACTTACTGGTCATCGATGATGTGCTTGCAGGAGGTGGAGACGATGTAGCCAGCTGTGGAGGCCATGATGGCTTGGACGGAGGACACTAACCTGGGGAGACAGAGGGAGGAGTGGCAGGTGGGGAGGTGCGTGCCTTGACATCTCCTTTTCACTAGTAGTTATTTGCTTTGGGTTTGGTCACTTCTCAGGCCATTCCTGGCTCACCTCCCAAGACCGGGCTTTCCCAGATTCACCCACCCTACCACCACCACCTCCAGAGTCCTGAGTTGCTCCGCCACTGTCCCTCAGTTTGCCCCATTCCTGGTGGCCTTCCCCTTCCCTTGGCTTGTGAATACTGAGTGGCCTTCCTCTCAGGACACAGGGAGGTCACCCTGAGGTGAAACAATGCTGGGAATGTGTGGCTGAGAGCAAAGCCTCTGCCCAGGAGGGGACGCCCAGGAGGGCAAGGGGAGCCTGTGCTGTTCCTGCCCCACTTGGCTGCCCAGTCACCATGCCACCCATTACTCGGGCCCCTGGCCCTGCAGTGAACCCAAATTCCTCCTGGCCACTTTCCCACTGTCTCCTTGACTGCCACGGAGCTCCCCTCCCGGTGATGGCCCTAATTCCAGGGTTGTAGAGAGTTCCACTGTTCACTCCTCTGTGCCTCGTCCCCAACACTCATCCTGATTCACACATGGTGCTCTTCCCCTTGTTCCCTGACATCTTATAGGAATGTTTTAGTCACATGCTGGCCCTGTTTGGGAGGTGGGAGGGTGGCTGGGAGAAGGGAAGAAAAGCAGTCTGAACACTAGTAGACCAGATGGCTGGTTTGGGGAGGTCTCCTGGGAAGGTGAGTAAGACCCCCGAAGGAAGGGAGCTTGGCAGCAGAGCCCACTGACCACCGCCAGGCTCCCCGTCCCAACAGGGGCCAAGGGTGCAGGGAAGTGATGGGGTCCCTTCTGTCCCCATAAAGCCTGAGAAAGAGAAAGGGACTAAGCTGGGGAGGGGATGCCGTTTACCTGGCTGAGACAATGACCGCGTCGGCCTCCTCCCAGCGCAGCTGGGGCAGCCGCTGGAGCGTGTTCTTGGAGAGGAGGAAGAGTCCGGGGAACACCACCCCCCCAGCCACCATTGGGGTCAGCATGGTGGCTCAGGACTCGGGCAGGGAGACTCGAGCGGGTCAACAAGGGGCAGAGAGGCAGGGCTGAGGGGAGTTGGAGGTGGAGCCGGGATGCGGAGCCGGGGGAGGGAGGGAGGGAGAGGAAGGGGCACAAAGGGGACAGGGCGGGGACGGGATGGGACAAGGGAGCTGGACCAGAGGAAGAGAGAATGGGACTCTGGATCAGACTGGGGACACAGGGAGAGGGCTGGCCAGGCAGAGCAGGGAGCCCAAGGACGGGAGCAGGGAGCAGGAGAAAGCGGTGAGGGATGGGAAGAGGCGACAGGGGAGGACTTGGTGAGGACCGAGAGAGAGGGGACAGGAGGAGGAGGATGCAGCTGGGGGAGGGGAGGGAGAGCCGCGGCAGGTGGGGGGGGTACGTGGGGAGACTGGGAGGGCCCGAGGAGGCGGGCTGGGGGGAGAGGTGCCAGCCCTGAAAGGAGGGAGGGGGAGGGACGGAGCCAGAGGAGCGGCGGGGCGAGTGGTCAGCGGTCAGCACTGCTCTCCCGCCACCACCGCCTCCTCTCGGCTGCCGCCACAGTCCTTGCTGCCTGGCAGGGACGCGGCACATGGCATTATAGAGAGTTCATGCCCAGCCCCCTGCCCCCTCTGTGGGGAGGGGGAGGGGGAGGGGAAGCTGCCAGCCTGGGGAGGGCGGGGGAAGGGTGGGGAAATGATGGCACCGACCAGACACCAAGAAACCGGACCTGCAGCAGCGTCTCCCATGCAGCTCTGTGCCACAGCAGCGGCTGCGACAGAGATGGGGGGAGCAGGGAAAGAGGAAGGGGGAGGCCCTTAAAGAGACAGCAGCTGCGGCACAGGGGGGCTATTGGGGACAAGGGCCATGGAAGGGATGGCTCTTCTCGAGGGAAAGAAGGTGATCTGGGGCTCCCTGGCCAGCTGCGAGGGGGCTCTAAACCCCCATGATGGGCCTGACCCCATTTCCCATCAGCACTTTGAAGTGCCTGGTATTTCCTCCTCTGCCAATGCCTCCCAAGATGTGACTGTCAGTGGCCTGCCAGGGATCTCAGCTTAGGGGCGTCTACTCCTGCCAAAGAGAGGGTTCCCTGGGGAAGGGAGCTGCAGGAAGTGGTGCATCTCAACACAGAGTCCTTCAGACCCAGAGCCCCTGCTCCACCCCCAGGAGAGCGAGGAACTGAGAAGCATGAAGCACCTTGTATGTGTCCCCAACTCAGCTGCACGGCTGCCCCATGTCCTTATCTACTGCTGGAACAGTACCAGGTGGCTGTGCTTGTCCCCTTTCTACTGGTCAGGAAATGGTCCTAGGCACTGAGTGATGCTCCCAGGGTCACAAAGTTAAGAAATGGTGGGAACTCAAAAGAAAACCCGCCTGGAGCCCAGGAGGCTCCGGCCACATTCCTCAGGCTGCCTGGCCTCCCCTGGCTCCCTAGGTGCCCACCGCTTTCTTTTGCTCCTGGTTCCCCTTCCTCTGCTACTTCACAGAACAGTCCAGTTTCAGAGAGGAAAAGGGTCTCAGGGGTTGGCTGGACAGAGTCCCTCATTCAATCACTAGGAAAGTAAGGTCCAGTGACTTGGTCAAAGTCAACTAGGCCAACTCAGAGCTGTTCCTCACTTTCACGTGGCCCCTCTGGAGTCCTGCCTTCTGTTCTGAACCAATGGTTCTGTGGATGTCTTCAGGACATGGCTCTTGCTACCCAAACCATACTTTGGTCTCCAGGTTTGCCCTGAGCTATGGATCAATAATCAGGGCTACAGTTGGCCTTTCCCCCTCCCAAAGCCCACTCCTCTCCTAAAGAGGCAAAGGCTGGAATTTGCAATTTTGTGCTGCCCTCTAGTGGCCTAGGAAAGACCAGGACAAGTCTCACCTTAGGCGGGAGTTGGAAACAGTTTTAGAGACAATTTGTAGACTTAGTTCCTGACCTCAGGGCTTCACTTAAGAAAAAGGGGCCCAATTTCCTGACCTTTATTATATTCTAACCAATTTTCATAGCGACTTATGTTGATTCTTATTTAATCTTCCCAGGTGGTGGTATTCTCAGTTCATTGAAGAAACTGAGGTTTAGAAGTTTAAAAAACAAAAACTTGCCAAGATAAAACAGCTATGAAAATTGGTTAGAAGCTGGATTTTGAACCAATGTTTGCTTAACTCCAGAGTCAAAAATGAGCAAAACTGCAAAAGGAACTCAGGAGGACACCAAAACTAAGGACCACAGACTTGGTCAAGGAACTGTGGTTTTACCTTGGATGAGGTAAAACAAGGGTTTGTGCTTTTTGCATGTGTGATTTTTTTTTTCTGCCAGGCATTCACTTGGACACCCTAATGAATTCTGCCTTCTGCATACTCATTGTCCTAACTATGATTTGAAATAGCTCACCTTTTGTCAAATGGATCATAAATTTGCAGCTCGAGGGCTCAACAGATCCCACAGGCTTATTTATCTATTTGCACTCAGGATTAAAGCTAGGGACCCTTTGCCATTGAGCTACATCCCCAGCTTTTTAATTTTTTTTTTGCAACAGGATCTTGCTGAATTGCTTAGGGCCTCAGTCTCCACAGCTGCGGGGATTACAGTACGTGCCACAATGTCAAGGCCACAAACATGTTGTTTCACCAATATGGTGTTGTCAGCAGAGTACAGGATTTTCTTAATTTAATTTCTAATTTTTTGTCTATGTTCCAAGATTGCCAAATTTCACAGAAAAGCTCGACTTTGCCAGGCACAGTGGTGCATGCTGTCATCCCAGTGGCTTGGGAGGCTGAGACAAAAGGATCCAGAGTTCAAAGCCAGCCTCAGCAAAAGCAAGGCACTAAGCAACTCAGTTGCTAAATAAAATACAAAATAGGGCTGGGGATGTGGCTCAGTGGTTGAGTGACCCTGAGTTTAATCCGAGGTCCACCCACCCCTCCCCCCAAAAAAAGGAAAAAAAAAAAAAAGGAACGCTCAACTTCTAGCCTGGGGATATAGCTCAGTGATAAAGCACTTGCCTAAAATATTTGAGACCCTACATTTGATCCCCAGTAGCAAAAAAAAAAAAAAAAAAATCTCAACCTCTTTTAAGAAAGAATCAGAACAGGTAACATAATGATTTGTTTGTGTTTTGTTTTGCAGTACATGGAGTGGAACCCAGCAGCACTTTACCACCAAGCTACATCCCCAGCCCTTTTATTTTTTAAATTTTGAGACAGGGTTTCAAAGTTGCCCAGGGTGGCATCAAACTTATGATCCTCCTGCCTCAGCCTCCCAAGTCACTGAGATTATAGGTACATCACATCACCCAGCCTCCAAAATGTCTTGCTGGAGTTGAGCACCCGCTATGGCCATTGGATGGAGTCCTCCAGCTCAGACATCTTTGTGTTATTTTCAAGAATTTGCAATCCCTCCTTGAGAGATGCTAATTCACATGACTCTCACCTAAACATCTCCATGAAGAAAGGAAAGGGAGTGTCATAATTATTAAACCCATTTTGAAGTGAGGAATTTGAAGCTCAGAGGCTAAAGGACTTACCAAAGATTCCATAGCCAGTGTTTTTTTGAACTGGCTTGAACTCAGGGGCACTCAACCACTGAGCCACATCCCCAGCCCTATTCTGTATTTTATTTAGCAACTTTGCTTAGTGCCTTGTGGTTGCTGAGGCTGGCTTTGAACTGGCTATCCTCCTGTCTCAGCCTCCCAAACCACTGGGATTACAGGTGGGCGCCACAGTGACCAGCCATAGCCAATTTCTTTTTGTTTTTGTTTTGGGGTACCAACCATTGAATTCAGGGGCACTTGACCACTGAGCCACATCCCCAGCCCTATTTTGTATTTTTATTTAGAAACAGGCTCTCACTGAGTTGCTAAGCACCTCACTTTTTGCTGAGGCTGGTTTTGAATTTGCGATCCTCCTGCCTTAGCCTCCCGAGCCACTGGGATTATAGGTGAGCAGTGTCTTTTTGTGTGTGTGGTGCTGCAGATTGAACCCAGATCCTTGTGCATGTGAGGCAGGTACTCTACCAGCTGAACTATATCCCCAACCCATGGCCCATGTCTTTTGCCTCCTAACCCCGGGCCGCATCAGATCCCACATTCTCCTTCTGCTTCCGCCACTACCTCGTCCTGAAGTGAAGAGATCAGCTCCAGCAGCCCTGGCCCCCAGGAAAGATACTCTCACCCTGGTCTTCTTACTTGGATGCCACCAAAACAGCCTCTCTTGCCTCCATCTGCAGTTTGGTGTAGTTCTGCAGGCCCCAACGGAGGATAGCGAAGAATACTGGGAAGAAGACGCAACCTAGTACAAAGAGCAGGGCCATGCCTGTCTGAGGTAGAGAAGGGGAAAAGAAATGGTTATGAGAACTCCTTAACCCTGCAGTGGTCCGTGAGATCCACTCAGCTGCAGCCACTGAAAATCATTGCGTTTCTAACATCCTTCATCCGGGGTAATTGAACATCCTGGTGTTTGGTTTTTTTTGTTTCCTTTTGTTTAAACCTAGTATTATTTCATTCATTTTCCCTGCCATCCCTGAAGCTGACCTACACCTCCTAGTCCATCTCACACCTTAAAATGGCTTCTCTTTCTCCTCCACCGCAGTGATGTGCCTGCCCTTTCTTAACTCCACCCTGATCATCCTCCGTTCCTATGTCACCCTTGACTCCTCCGAGGGGCTCAGACTTCTCACAGGGTCTCACCTCTCAGCGACAAGGTGGGAGGACTGAGAGGGAGGTTGATGTTTCTCCTCAGCACCCAAAACTTGGGAAAAGGAAGGGAGGGGGTGTTCAAATTGTCAAAACACTTGAAATTTTAAAATAACATTTTAAAAAAAAAGAAAGCCAAAGTGATTTTTACCCCATAAAAACGAAAAAAAAAAAGAAAAAGGAAACCCTGAAAACACGGATATTTACATAGATATTATTTTTGCCTGGCAAAGCCTCCCCTCCCACCCGCTCCGAGGAGGAGAGGAGTGGGGAAGGCGCAGGAGGGACGCAGGTGGTCGGGGCCTGCCATCCTCCATCCCTGGAGTGCTTCTGAAGGGACCTTCTCAGGCTACAAGGAAGATGTCAAACTGCAAGGGCACGAGGCTGCTCAGCCGAGGCAGTTGGAGCCACAGGAGCATCACCCTCCCATTGGCCAACCTCTTGACACAGGTGCCCTATCGTTTATTTCTGCTGGGGCGGAAGTGGGCAGGGCGTTCCAGCACCTTGTGTAGAATTAGCCAATTAGAGTTCGTTGATGACTTGATGGACAGCACATTTCAGAGGCGGAGCTGGAAGAAAAGGAATAGGAAGAAGAGGGAGAATAAGAAAGGTCTGTTATTGCTTTAAAAGATAGTAGAGAAGCCTATTGCCGCATCTCATGTCTCTAATCCCAGCAGCTCTGGAGGCTGAGGCAGGAGGATCTGAAATTCAAGGACAGCCTCAGCAATTTAGTGAGGCTCTAAGCAATTTAGTGAGACCATGTCTCAAAATCAAAGAAAGCAAAAACAAACAGCCTCGAGATGTGGCTCAGTGGTTGAAGTCTCTGGGTCCATTCTGTGGTAGTGGTGGGGGAAGGTGTGGGGCAGTAGAGAAACTAGCCCTGGAGCACCTCAGCGACAAGGGAGGCTGAGACAGGAGAATTGCAAGTTCAGCCTGGCAATTTAGGGAGACCTTGTCTCAAAAGAAAAAAAAAAATATGTAAAGGACTTGGATGTAGTTCAGTGGCAGAGCACTCCTCAGTATCGCAGGTAAGTGAATACAAAAATTAAAAATGCTAAGGAAATTTTGGCTCTTCATTCCCTGAATGATGGTGAGCAGAACCTCTGTGGGCCTCGGTATCTTCCTCTGTGAGATTGAGATCATAATGATGACAGCTAATTATATTGCATTTACTGTGGGCCAGACTCTGATCTGAGTGCTTAAAAACATGAAATCATTTTTTCCAAATAACCTTGTGGGTAGGGATTATTATTGTATCAACTTTACAGTTGGGAAAACAGTGGTACAGAAAGGCTTGGTACCTACCCCAAGGTTACAGTCAGGAAGGGAATGAGGTACAGTATTTCTTTCAACCATATTTTCTGAATCTGTTGGTCTCTATAATGTTAAGCAGATATAGGAAACTCAAAAACTCATTATCCTAAAGGAATTAAAGGGTTTTTGTTTGTTTTGCTGCTGGGGATTGAACTTATTTTATGAATTTTTTTGGGTTTTTTTGTTATGTTTTTGTTTTTTTTAAGGAGGAAAAAGATAGTCCTGAATACAATTTAAACATCTTAATTCATATTTTTAGAATTTTTGTCTGTTAACAGTTCTTGCTACTTTTTTAATACTTATTTTTTGGTTGTAACTGGACATAATATCTTTGTTTTATTTATTTATTTTTATATGGAGCTGAGGTTCAAACCCAGGGCCTCCCACATGCCAGGTGAGCACTCTGCCACTGAGCTACAATCCCAGCCCCCAGTTCTTGCTACTTAACTACTCAACCTCCACCTTGGGCCTCTGAAGATTAAAGATTAAGCCAAGAGCAAGGTAAAGTTATTTAAGATGAGGCCTCTGGTTGCCTAACCAGTGATCAGTGTCCAGTCTCACTTTTTTCCTTTTGAATGTGTCCATTTAAAAACTACATTTCCGGGGCTGGAGCTGTGGCTTAGCGGTAGAGTGCTTGCCTAGCATGCATGAGGCACTGGGTTTGATCCTCAGCACCACATAAATGGAAAATAAAGATATTGTGTCTACCTAAAATTAAAAAATAAATATTAAAAACTACATTTCCCAGCTACTCTTGAGAGAAAAGTTCTTTTGTGTGTGTGTGTGCGCGCGCATGGGGGTGGGAGGGTGGGTATTAGGGATTAAACCCAGGGTACTCTCTCGCACTGATCTACATCCTCAGCCCTTTTTATTTTGAATAGGATTTTGCTAAGTTGCTAAGGCTGGCCTTGAATTTGTGATCCTCCTACCTTAGCCTCTGGAGTTTCTAAGATTACAGGTGTGATCATTGTGCCCAGTGAAATCTCCTTTTTAAAAAGGCAGCACAGCTCACAAAGAAAGGAATCCAGATGGACTTTAAAAGTTAGGACAAGAGCCCAGTGGGTGGTGCACACCTGTGGTTCCAGCTAGTCAGAAGGCTGGGCAGGAGTTAGATCTCAGGAGTTTTAACCAACACAGTGAGATGATGTCTAAAAACAGAGAAAGGAAGGAAGGGAGGGAAGGGGAGAGGAAAAGAAAGAGGAAAGAGAAAAGAAAGAAATAAAAAGATTTCCAGAGATACTTTCTCTTTCATGACTCAGCCCACACACACTGAAAGATAATACTGAGTTGGGATTTGAAACCAGGCCAATCTGTCTCTGGTGTCTGCCCTCCTCTGTGCAGGTTCATTGTGAGGATTAAATAGAGATAATGTACATAAATGACTTCCCACAGCATTCAGTTACTATCATCGCGAGCACCCAGAAGGCTGTGTGCTAAAATCTCTCTACCCTCTCATTCCTCCTTCCCTACCACCTTCCAAACAATGCTCCCATTTTACTGCTGAGAAAACTGAGGCTGGGAGAGCTAGGCGACTTGTCCTAGGTGGCACAGTCAATGGCAGAGCTATGACTGCTGCCTCCCAGGTTGGGAGGGGAGGGCAGGTGGAGGAAAGCCCAGGCAGAGGCAGGAGTAAGTGGGCCAGCCCCCCTCTGGTGCTGAGGGGTACTGGTGTTGCCCTGGATGTGTGGCTTACCCTGGAACACAGCGTGAGGGAGGGTCGAGAGCTCTGGGGCCATGAGCTGGGAAAGGTCAGGTCCGCGTTTCACTGGATTCTGGCTCCCCTGCAGTTCTTTCTCCTGTCCTCAGTATCTTCTTGTTTCAAGCCAGACAGTCCAAGGCTGCGCAGGCATGCCTGGGAACTAAAGGGTGAGGGGAAACAGTGGTCTGCCTGTTCGCTTATTTATTTTTTCTGTACTGGGGATTGAACCCAGGGACGCTCTACCTTGAGCTTCATCTCCAACCCTTTTCTTTATTTAAAATTTTAATCTTATTTTAAAAATATTTTTTAGATGTTGATGGACCTTTATTTTATGCATTTATTTATATGCAGTGCTGAGAATCAAACCCAGGGCCTCACACATGCTAGGCAAGTGATCTACCACCACTGATCCACTGATCTTTCAGCCCCAGATACTGTGTGTGTGTGTGTGTGTGTGTGGTGCTGGGGATTGAACCCAGGGCCTTGTGCATGTGAGGCAAGCACTCTACCAGCAGCCCGATTTTAATCTTATTTATTCATTTGTTATTATTATTAGGTACTGGGAATTGAACCCAGGGGTGCTTAACCACTGAGCACATCCTCAGCCCCTTTTATTTTTATTTGAAACAGGGTCTCACTAAGTTGCTTAGGGCCTCACTAAGTTGTTCAGGCTGGCCTTGAACTCGAGTTCCTCCTGCCTCAGCCTCCTGAGCCATTGGATTTCAGGCATGTACCACTGCATCTGGGAGAAAGAGTGGTTTAGAGTAATGGCTTTCAACTTTTTTAAAGTGACTCCCCCCCCCCACCCAGAATTACCTTTTATTTTATGAACTGAACTGAGAGCAAACTTTACCACTACTACTACTACTACTACTACTACTACTACTACTACTATTATTAGTTCTGGGGATCAAATCCAGGGCCTTGAGTATGCTAAGATATGCTCTACCACTGAGAGTGGAAAATTCCCTCCACCTGGGGAACTTTCTCTCAGTACTGCCTGGTCCTTATGTGCAGCCTTTTGTGTGGTTCCCCCAAATGCTGGTCATGATTTCACAGCCCACTAGTGGGTCACAACCCATGTAGGTCAGCCTTGGGTTGACAGCAGCGTTTCTCAACTTTTTTTCCCCCATTACTGCTCTTTTAAGAAGACTTGAATATGTGTGTGTGTGTGTGTGTGTGTGTGTGTATTTTTTTCCTCCTAATTGCTGCCCATTGTGTTTTATTTATTTATTTATTTATTATTGTTTTAGGCACTGAGGATTGAGCCCAGTTCTTCACACATGTGAGGGGAGCACTCTACCACTGAGTCACATTCCCAGCCCCCATCATGAAATTTTAACAACACAGATGTTCTGTACATCTGTTTATGTATATCTGTGCTTCATATGTTAAAGAGTAAGAATATTTTGCCCCAAGAACCAATTTTAAGGGGTACTAGGGATTGAACACAGGGGCACTTAATCATTGAGCCACATCCTCATCCCTTCTTGTTTTGAGACAGGGTCTCACTAAGTTACATAGGGCCTTGCTAGTTGCTGAGGCTGGCCTTGAACTTGGGATCCTCCTACCTCAGCCTCCTGAGTTGCTGGGATTACAGGCATGCACCATGGTGCCTGACCCAAGAACCAGTTTGTGCCCTCTGAGGGGCAATGTACCCCAGTTGAGAATTCAGGAGCAACAACACTCTGACAAACATTTTGAGTCCCCCTTACACACACTATCCCAATCTCCAATGAGATGTTTCCATTTTTCAAATGCATAAGTCGAGACTCAAAAGTATTTTTATTCATTATTGAAATGACTGATCATGAGAATGGGAATCGAAAACTTACCAATATCCTCGCTTAGCTTCTTATCTTCTCCAAACCTTTGTTCCCTGATGTGCAAAATGATGGAATGGATTCAAAGAAGTGTTTCCCGAACCTCAGTTAATGGTTTTGTTTTGGTTTTTGTACTATTTGACCTAATAATAGCAAATAATTATACAACATTGACAGATGCCAGGTACCAATCTAAGCCCTTTACATATATTATCTAATAATAATAATATATTATCTAATCATAATAACTTTAGAAATACCTTCCCTGTACAGATGAACAAATTGAGGCACAGAGAGGCTATGTGACTTGCCCAAGGTCACACAAGTAGTTAGTGGCAGAGACAGGACTTGAACCTAGTAGTCTGAATTCTTGGGTTCCCACTTTTAACCATGTACTCTAAAAGGATACTTTTTTTTTTTATTGGGGTGGAACCCCCCACAGGTACTTTACTACCAAGATACACACCCACCTTTTCTTATTTTATTTGAGACAGGGTCTCACTAAGTTGTCCTGGCTGGCCTTGAACTTCCGATTCTCTTCCCAGGGCTTCTCTGGGTGCTGGAGATCACAGGGGTGCATCACTGTCACCGGGTCTAACTAAAAGGAAAGTTTTTAATCACGATAAGAAATAGAATGCTTGTAAATAGACAAGTAACATATATACATATATAAATTGGACAGGCCATAACCTTCTATCCAGAAGATGTCCCCACTGCACATTCTGAGCTGGAGGCTGCTGTCTCTTGGTTAAGAGAAAGAGAAAAAGATAAGCACAGATAGAAAGGTGTTAAGAGGCCCTGGCAGCAGAAGGAGACTTTCTCCTGGAGCCATCTTAAAAGTGTTGAAAGGGAAGTGGATGCCGAACTGCTTGTACCACCTAAAATAAACCAAGATGGGATGCACTCTGTGCACACTGCACCTTGTCGGGTGTTCTAGAAGTGTGTGGGCTCCCCTGTGAAGAAAGGGAGATGGTACTAGCCAGTCCTGGCCTGGGAGTGCAGCCAGAAAGCTTTTGGCCACCACCGAATCTAAAGGGGAAGTGTGGGGTGGCACTGCCATCTCCCCTCTCCCACCGGCTCCCCACACCAGTCTCTCACCCCATCCTGTCCTGGCAGACCTGCCACCGGTTTACCTGGGTCCCTGTTGCTTCAGGCTGCTGTGCTCACCCTCTTTACCTGGGCACAGCGGGCCTCTGCCCTGCGGGCGCACGCTGTGATATCATCACAGGCTGTGAATAAGTAAACAATAAGTAGTCAGAGTGGCCTGTTCCCCACCTGACACCAAGAGAAGGCCCAATTCCCCCCACTCGTGCTCTGGGGAGAGTCTTGGCCTGGGTGCCTGGGTATTTATTATTTAGTACTTTTGTTTGTACCTGTCCCAGGTGAGGTACAATTCCAAACGATTCCAGTCCAAAAAAAGCACAACAGAGGAGAAGGAGACACACAGCAAGGGCCCAAGTCCCCATATGTTGGCTGTGTGATCTTAGCCAAGTTGCAGTGCCTTTCTGAGCCCCTGTTGTGTATATACACAAAGTCCCATTGCCTGGACCTGGATCCTGGTTCTGCCCTCTCACTAGCCAAGAGTCCTTATATAAGTGACTCACCTTCTTTGAGTCCCTTGGGCTTCTTATCTATAAATGGGGACAATAACAGAGCTGCTACAAAGGGTTGCCCAGATGATTAAGTGAGAAGATATGCATAAAGCATAGTTCTTAGGTATCCATTGTGATCTCCATTAATTGTTTTGTTGTTGTTTTGCAGTTCTAGGGATCAAACCCAGGACCTTGCTCATATTAGGCAAGTACTCTACCACTGAGCTCTCTGATATTTTTTAATGGTCTCTTGTTCCATGCTAGGTACTTTACAAACCCTTTCTCTAACCAGCACAAATTCTGCCAGCTTCTTATGGAAGTCCCCACTTTACAGGTGAGGAAGAGTGAGGCTCAGTGAGGTCAGTTGATCTGCCTGAGGTCACACAGGCACAATGTCAGAACTAGATTTCCAATAGCCAGATCTTGCTTGATTCTAAAGTGTCTGTTTTCCCAAGTGGGCCTCATTCTTTCCCATTTATAAAGTGGAAATAATGGCTGCTGTCACCCAGGTCTACAGGGAGGATTAAATAAGATAAGGTCTGCAGAGAGGCCTCTATTGATGCTGGCTCAGCTCTTTGGCCCCCCAGGGTAATTACCAAGCACAGGCCTTTCATTTTTATAATCAGGAGGCTGGTGAGCCTAATCTCTAGGAGACAATGCTGCCTGCTAGCCATAGGAGGGGGCTGAAGGGTTAGATCAAAATCAGATCTGCGGGTGCTCTTCCCAGGCCCAGGCCCAAGTCTGACCAGGCTTCTTTCATCTCTGGCCTTCTCTGTGGCCAGTCTCCCACCTGGCCCAGGATCATCCAGAGCATGTCTCCCTTCCCTAAGGGCAGCACAAAAAACCTGTGATACTATCCAACATCCCCAGTTTTAACCTTCAGGGAGAGGGACACTGATGTTTATCCAGCTGTTGTGAAGTCAGTTTCTCGCTGCCTCCCACAGATTACCATCTGATGTGGGTAGAAGTGGGATTTTGGCAGAGTGGGGTGCATACGTCACCCCTCCCACTAGCCTGCCTGGCAACAAGGCCTGGTGCACTGTCCACCTTCCTGCATAATGTATGAGCCAACAGTAGGAACAGAACACCATTAGCAGTGAGTCTGACCACTGCAGACCATGGCTGTGTCCAGAACCCTCGCCAAAGCTGACGTGTCTGTTGGCTCCGGCTGAAGAGAGGGTGGGGATATGTATCACCAGAGGCCTTTCCTGTGGCCAAGGTGGGAACTGGCCTCATCCTGATCCTCGGGGACTCTATCAAGTAAGAAGACAGCCCCGAGAAGGCAATCAGACCCTGTCTTCAATCAACAATGGTGACATGGGAGAGTCCTGTTTTCTGGGCTCAACCCCCCCCCAGGGATCTAGGGTGGCAGTGGGAGTGGTTGGGAACCCCTTGGTGTGGTTGAAGGTAGGAGGGGCGATTTGGAACCCAGGGATGCAGTGCCTGGCAATTTCTGTGGCTGTCTGATGGCACAGGAAACCCCCTGGGACAGCAGCTGTGTACATCAGGGTGAAGAGCGAAAGGGGGAATGGTGTGGCATTGCAGCTGGGGGGAAACACCAGGCTGCAGCATTGCGTAGGAAGTCAGGGGTCTCCGTGGGAGGTGCGCTTGTGTGTGTGCAATCAAAGGCCAGGAGTGAGAGGGGGATCCTTGAGGGCCTTGCCAGCCAGGGCAGCCCTGGCCCCCAGATGACAGCACCAACACTTCTTCCTTCATGGACAGAGTTGGATTCGGGTCATTCATAGAATCAGTGAGTATTAATTACTGTGGGATCCCCGAGGCTAGGCCAAGTGCTTGAGCTACAGAGATGAATCAGACCAGGCCCCAGCCCATAGTCTACCTGGGGAGCCAGACACTGAAGTGGAGAAATCAAATACCTCAAAGTGATGCTTGACTAGCAGCACCTATCTAGGGCTGTGGGAACATCAGAGCCCAAAGCATCCACCTCCTCCTGAGGTTGGCAGCAAGAACCCACTGAGGCACAACTGAGCACAAGCTTGAGGGATGAGGAAGAGGTTTGTCATGAGGAAGTGAAGGGAAAGGTGTGATAGGCAAAGGGAGCGGCATCTGCAAAGCCGCAGAGCTGTAAGACCCTGAGCACTAACTCAGGAACCTTCAACAGATCTTATGAGGAGCTTTAAAAGAACGGACTGGGCATCAAATCTGATTTGTTTTACACATATTATCTGATTCCCCTCCTGCAGTAGAATGCCAGCAACGTGAAGACAGGAAATTGGCCTCATTGTCAGAGCTCCAGGACCCACAGTGGTGGCTTTATCCTGGATCTAGTAGGAAGCCTTTGGAAGATTGAAAGCAGAAAAGTAACAAGATCTGATGTGTGTGGTAGGAAATAACTTTGACAATGATGTGAATGCTGAAAAAAAAATAGGTGTAATAATGGAGAAATGAGGTCAGGTTGGTAAAATATTGATAATTCCACGCAATTAACAAGTAGTTTTGATTTGCACAATATTCCTGTGAATCAGGTGGCTCCCCCTTTTGTAGATGAGGAAATAGACTCAGCAAGTCTCATTAACTTGGGCAAAGTCACACAGCAAATTGGTGCAGTAGCCCAGGGTTTCAGTCCTTCCTTTGCAGCACCCAGAATCCAGGGCGGCACCTCCAACGGCCAGCGCCTGAAGGAGATCCGACCTAGGCAGGTGACAGTTCGCTATTCCGGTTCAGTTCCAGCGGGAAAGCCCAGAGGATGGCGGTTCAGAACCCTTGGCCGAAAATCAGGCGGGAAAAGCTAGGCGGGAAGAGGGTGTTTGAGTCTCGGCGGCCGCCGTAGGCGCGGCACTCTGGTACCTATGGCAACAGCTAGAAGCAGCGCAAGGTCCCGGGCGGTGCTGGCGCCACGGCGGATTGGACCCAGCGCGGGCGCGGAATCTGTGAACTGCCGGCGGCTCCGAAGGTGCAGGTGATGGGGATGGGTGGCCCGAGGGAGCCCGGGTGTGGGGCCGCGGAGGGGCGTGACCTGGGCCTGGCTGGAGCCTGGGAGGAAGGCGCCGCCCCTGCATCCCCGGACCACCCACCACGGTCCAGACCGGAGCCGTCTCTGGGCCTCAGTTTCCCCACACGGGAAATGGGAGGAGGAGAGGGCACCCGGGCCAGCGGCCCCTCTCAGCCTCTGAGCCCAGGTCCTTCTTTTTCTCTGCAGCTCCTGGAGTGACTGGCGCAGCCTGCCCCATGGACGTGAGTCCAGGCCCCTTCCCTACCCTGCTGCGGCCCCCTCCGCGCCTCAGCTCCCCTTGACTTTGCTCGCCTCCAGCTAGGGCTGGGGAAGGAGCTTTTTCCCAGCATGGACCCTTCCAGCTTAGGACAAGAGCTGGGAGAAAATCAGGGTCCTGGATGGACTAACAGCTGGAGGGCACATTTCCTGTGTTCCCGGCAAGATAAAGAGTCTACCAAGTCATCTGGGAGAGAGGGTGAAGTAGTGGCAGTGGGGTCAGAGATGGGGTCTGTTTGGAGAAGCGAACTGAAGAGAAGAGTTTTTAAGTCCTGGGAGATTCTAGAAGTATTGGATGGCGGTGAAATGGGGACGACAAGGGAAAAGGCAGGTTTGGGGGACAAGATGGTGAGTCAAGGGATCATCCAATTGACTCTTTCTCCCTGGTCTAATGGTTGCTCCTCCCCCAGCCACCCCTGTGTCCTCCTGTGTTCCTGCTGCCCCCCCCACCTCCTTGTCACCCCCCTTCCTCTGCTCGTCCAGGCCTCCTCTAGCCCATGGGATCCAACCCAGGCTTCTGCCAGCAGCCCTCTCCTGCTGCTGCCCATTCCTGCCATCGTCTTCATTGCCGTGGGCATCTACTTGTTGCTGCTGGGCCTAGTGCTGCTGACTAGGCACTTCCTGCTGGTGAGGGGGTCGTGGGGAATAAAGGGTGGGTTCTGGAAAACCGGATGCCAGTCAATCTGCCCCTCATCTGCAGACTTTTACTGTGAGTTCACCTTCACCCTATAGTCCCTGCATGGATCCTTTTTGTGGGACCTGGAGTCCCTCCTCCCTGTCCCCAGGCCATCCTTATTTCGCCCCCTCCCTAAAGGGAGTTTCAGCCGTCCCTACCTACCTGCTCTGCTGCTCCCGGGATCCTGAGCCCTCCCATCTCCTAGGCCCAGGGCTGCTGCACAGACTGCAGCTCCCCCTGCAGGAAGAAAGGTGCCTTACAAGACTGTTGCTGGACCTGTGCAGAAGCCTGTGACTTCCCTCTGCCCAGCCCAGGCCGCTATCTGGATGCCTGCTGCCCCCAACCCAGCGAAGCTGTGAGTTCTCACCCTGCCCCGCAGAGCTCTGATCTAGGGATGATCTGTGCCTTTATTGTCTCTGTTCAACCACATTCGTTACTGAGCACCAACTCTAGGTGAGGCACGGTTCAGGTATTGAGCTATGTGAAGACAACATAACAACACATCAGGTCCTGAGGAAAATAGGGCAACCGCCAGGCAAAGGTGATCTATGCAACATGCACAGCACATAATCAACACTTCCGAAAATGGTAGTTAAAAGGAAAAATAGCTAAGCCAGGCACAGTGGCACATGCCTGAAATCCCAGCAACTCAGGAGGTTGAGGAAGGTGGATTGTAAGTTTGAGGCCAGCCTCAAGAACTTAGTGAGACCCGTCTCAAAAACAAGTTTTTTAAAAGGGTCTGGGAACTCGGTGGTAGAGCACTCATGGGGACTGAAAAAACAACAAAAAAGGAAAAATAGCTCACAGAGCACGTGAGAGTCATTGAGTGAATATTATATTCCAGAGAACACCACTTTATTGGCATTATTATTTTTCCTAGAAACCCTGAGATCTAGGTATGTATTTTAATTTTAATTTTTAATTGATACATACTAGTTATGTGATTTGGGTATTTATTTATTTGTTTTTGGTAGGGGGGGTTGAACCAAGGGGCTCTTAACCACTGAACCATGTCCCCAACCCTTTTTTATATTGTATTTTGAGACAGAGTCTCACTGAGTTGCTTAGGGCCTTGCTAAGTTACTGAGGATGGCTTTGAATTTGTGGTCCTCCTGCCTCAGCCTCCCAAGCCAATGGGATTACAGGTATGTGCCGCCATACCTGGCTAGTTGGGTATTTTAAAAAACTTATATATATATGTTTACAAAAATATTACAAAAAAGTATTATTTACAAAGTACACATGTAAAACCACAAAATATAAATCACTTTATAAACCAATTCTCAAATCCAAAGTGGCTACATTTTGTGTATGTCCCTCATATGCTAATATCCAGTACTATTACTACTGCACCTTACTATTATTTGGCAAAAATGGAGTCACACCATATAGACCATGTCACCAAAACTGCTACCTGCCCTTTAAACTTGACATGATACCTTGGCCGCCTCTCCATGCCTGAACATGTAGGTGGATAAGTATTATTATGCCCTTTCTGCGGGGTGGGGGGGTAAACTGGCTTGGGGAAGTTGAATGGCTTTTCAGTGTTACCCAGCGAAGCCTTGCTTAGAAAATTGCTCCACAGTCCTAGCTGTGGCAGAATCCTCAGGGGAGAAGCCTGGCTCATCGAAGACAAGCCATTTTTACATTTGTGGGTTTAAAGATACTAAGTTTAGTGATCGACCACCTTTTTAGACAGTGATATTTTGAGCTCAGAGAATTAGACAGCAAAGCTTCTGCCCTTGGAGCAGTGACCTTCTCTAGGAGGAAGTGGGGGATAAAAGAACAAGCCCCAGCAAAGTCAAAACTTGGGCTGACTGGGCTTGCTGCAAATTCCTGGCAGATGTTTTGAGTTTCAAAATAAACTGTGGGACAAGGAGCTCTCCTCTTTCAAACAATCTGCTTCTGATTCCCCAGGGATAGCCAGGAGTAGGGCCCCAGCATTACTGATGAGAGGGAAAGGGAAAGAAAAAAGACGACCTTGGGTTCTATCTAGAAACTCCTATCTTATAGGAGATGCCCAATTATAAAGTGAGTTGTGGCCCCCTGTCCTGGGGACACAGTCCCCTTGCCTGTCTGTATGCATGAGGTAAACTGACAGGGAAGCATGTCTTCCTTAGGAGAGAGGGTGGGGTGAGATGTACTGTAAAGAAGGACTGGGTCCCCCCACCTGCCAATTCAAGGCTGTAGGATTGGCAAGGCTCCAGACCTGGAGACTTTAGGGCCTGAACCTCTCTGGCTTCTGCTGGAGTTAGGCAGGAAGGCATCTAGAAGAGTCAAGGGCAGGCAGGGTCATCCTGTCCTTGAGCTCTTTCCTCAAAGTACACTGCAGTCCCTGTGTTCGCTAGTTTCCTTATAGTAACAATGACAGCCACAAAGGTGACAGAGCTCTGCCTGTATTACAGTTGTAGACATTTAAGCTCACAGAGGCTTAAGTGACTTGCCTGAGGTCACACAGCTGGGCCAACCAGACCACAAACCCAGGGCTCTTTTCCTTTCTCAGGAAAAACCTGCCTGCCATGTTGCTTTCCCTGGCAAATGGTGAGGATCTCATCCTTTCATTTAAAAATTCATCAAAATATTTATGAAATCACTGTTGAGGCTTTGTGCTGGACCCCAGGGGCTCAGCAGAAACAACACAGACAAGGTCCTGGCCCTCCCAGGTCTTACATGGACAGAGAGAAATAGGCAATTACAGTAGAGTGTAAGGAGGGTATGATATGTGTGTGATCAGAAGCAGGTGGGGGAGTTAAAGGGAAAGCCACTCACTCAGTAGGTGTGGAGTGGGACTGTAGTTTGTGACCTTCTAGTGAGCTCTCACATGATTTTGATCCACACCAGTGTTAAGAATTACTGTTAAGGGGAACCAGAACTACAGTGGTGAGAATGCTTCTATCAAGTATGGGCTCAGTGCTTCCCACTGACTCTCCAAGTGACCCTGTGAAGCAGGTGCTGTATTGATTTTAGAGATGGAGAAACTGAGGTTCAGAACATGAATTAGCCAAGCTGAGATTGAAGCCTGGGCCTTTCTGAATTTCGAGCCTGAACTGTAACCTGTAAAATGATGACTGGTCCTCACGAAGACCAAGGGAAATTCCAAAGTGAAAGAGCCTAGTTCTAGAAATGCAAGGGTTAAAAGTCTTGTGGAGTCCTTGTTTAATGTACTTAAACAGCAGATTCCTTCCAGAAGCCACATGGCTGCTTGTGAGATTCAAGAAACCCATTAGCCAGTTATTAATGACTGGATCTAAACCCTTCGGTGCACAGAGCCAAGAAATACTTTTAATACCCTGTTTCTGAGGTAAGGGCAGTGTAGTTGCTCTCAGCCACCAGCTCTGTGTACAGAATGATGGTGTGGTCCTCAAAACCCACAGAGCCAACTTCATCCCCAAACTGGGACTCCCCAGAGACACCCCCAAACCACACCCTCATAAACACACAAAAACCATTTCTCCCTTCCACCGTGACACCTCTAGCCCGCTCCCTCTGTAGACTAATTAGCACAGCCCAATTCAGACCCCTCTGCCTGCCATTGGCAAATCCCCTCCCCTTGCTGGAACCCTAGCGACACTGATCTCACCAGTCATCTGACACCGCACCCCGAAACCTCAGCTGTTGAAAAGGTCATTCCCCTATTCCTGGCTTGGCCCGGTCTCTGATTGAACAGTGCAACTGTGACTGTTACTCCTCAAGGAGCCAATCTTCTGTCACACAGCCATCCTGGGTGTGTCCCACTGCAGCCATTTGGCCTGCCTCCAGTCCATGCCTGGGGCAGTTGCAGATCATCCTTGTCCCAGGCAGAGGAGCAGTAAGTGGAGGGGTCAGATCTCCCTATCTGTTAGGACATGATGTTCCTTTTCCCTGACCAACAGACCTTGTTTTCCTGGAGCCTAGAAGCCCTCTTATTTTTGCCTAAAGAGGGGAAAATGAAGTGTTTAGATTCATCCATTCATTCAACATTTTTCTGCATGTTGGACACCTGCCAAGTTCCCTACACTGGCCCAGTGGAGGACAGGAGAAAAACTGGCCTGCCTTTGTACCCCAGAATGAAGTTGACATGCCTAGTCCTGGGAGATAGTGGGGACTGGGGCATCGTAGGCCTAAAGACTAGCTGACCCTGGTCCATCCCAGCTTTACTGTTTTTCTTGGGCAGGTCACTCCCTTCTCTGAGCCTCTATTTCCTTTTTATAAAGAGGCCCACTCTTCAGGACTGTGATAATTAAAAGATACAATCTTAAATTTTAAAAAATTGAAATTGTCATTTTTCAAAGAAAACAAAGTTTTAAAAATCATTCATGAATGTAGTCTGTGCCCTACACAAAGTTGGGCTCAACAATGAATGACATCCTGCAGTTGGGTCTCATGCCAAGAAAGAAGTCCATATAACCACTGCAATTCTTTTCATGATAGACAGAAAAACACACATGCTTTCTCTTCCTATCGCCTCTCAATTGCACAAGGCCATGAGGTTGTAGCAGAACCATCTTCACTGGGACACCTCAATTCTAGCATAGACCAAGGACCCACTGGTGCTCAGCCTCCTTATGTAAGCAATGGGAAGAAGGAGAGAACCCCTAAGTAATGGCTCCAGCTCCTGAGCTGAAATGCTAGAACACTGCCTCATTGCTGATTTCCCAGTAGCACAGGGAATAGCTTTGTTCTCAGGAATGGTGGATGGTACTTTTTTTGGCACTGGGGATTGAATTCAGGGAACTCGAACATTGAGCCGCATCCCCAGCCCTATTTTATATTTATTTAAAGACCAGTCTCACTGAGTTGCTTAGCACCTCCCTTTAGCTGAGGCTGGCTTTGAACTCACGATTCTCCTGTCTCAGCCTCCTGATCTCTGGGATTACAGGGTGGATGGTACTCTCTATACCACTAGCAGTTGCGACTTCCACAGCCCCTCTGTTCCCTTCTCCCCTTGGAGGGAAACAGACTGCGGCTCTGGTCCTCCCTCACCACTCTCTCCTCTCCTTAGGGTTGGGCTCCTCAGTGCCCCCGCTGCTGCCCGCTCTGCGACTGTGCCTGTGCCTGCCAACTTCCAGACTGCCAGAGCCTCAACTGTCTCTGCTTTGAGATCAAGCTCCGATGAGGACCCAGGATCCCTGCCCTTTGGGGAGCAGCCAGCCACCAGGGCCCACATGCTCCCCTCCCTCAGGGCCCCCAAGACACTTTTTCTCCAGGCCATTGGAACCACAAATGGCTCACCACTCTGGCAACTGGAGGGCTGGGTTCCCTGCAAGGCAGGGCTCAGAGAGCCCTTGGGCAGCTGGACTGCAGCTCCTTTGGAGGGTGGGAGGGAGAGAGGCTGCCCCTCTTTCCCTCCCCAAGTAAACTATTGTATTTGATTTGGAGGATGCGGGGAGCATTGCTCACCACAGACTGCATGATGGGTGGGACTCAGCTGGCCTTGAGTTTCAGGATTTAGGGGTGCCCAACCACACCCTGTTCATGGACTCTTGGTTATTTTAGGAGGTGAGTATTTGCCTGCATCTGCTCTCCCTCTTTAAAAAAAAAAAAAGCCACCATGAGTCCCAGAGTCACCGGGAGGAGGGAATCAGAGAAGGAGGCATGGGAGGAGGCAGGGTGGCCACCCCATCTAACTGCCTGTACTCCTTTCCCTCCCCACAGACCTCGGGTCTAAGATTGATTTTCTCTTTACAACCAAGAGCTTCAGTCTAGGTCTCCAAGGAAGAAATTTCCTCTGAAGTACCGGTGAGTGGGAGGGGACCCCTCTCCCCCTAGGGCAGACCCAAGGCTTCCTCCTCCTTCCCCCATGGAGGGCCCCATGCTGGCTTGAATGTCAGGGGCTTCAGGTTTCCCTAAATATAGGTCCTTTGCAGGGGATTCGTGGCGGCGAAAGGGCAAGGGTTACCGAGAAGGTCGGGGACATTTGTGTGTGGGGGGAGGGCAGGAGCTGCCTTATAACCCAGTGTCCGCCTGGCTCTCTCGCCGCCGACCACGCTCTGCCTGCGCCTCCCTTTCAGCCTCGCAGCAGGTGGGCAGCTAGCCGAACTCTGCAGGGTGGGGGTGGGCCGAAGGGGTCGGAATGGGGGATGGATTCGGGAAGCTCAGTAAATATCTGGGAGCGCGGAAATCGGAAATCTGTGGATCAGCGCTGGGGTGGATTTTGTATTGGAGAAGGAATTCAGGTTCAGGGAAGACGTTTCGCAGGGACACTTGTTTAGGCCAAGTCCTAGCCGGTTAGTTTCCGCACAGTCTGGTTTTCAAGTCTGCACCAGCAGCGGGCGGAAAGCGCATGTGCCAGAGCAGGCCAGGCTGGCCTTCCCCGCCCGGAGCCCGACTCTAAGCTGACGCGGGAACCCCTTGCCAGGGCGGGACCCCACACCTAGGGGAAGGCCTCGCTACGGCTCTCTGCAAGCCCAGGCTCTCTGCAAGCCCAGGCCGCTCTCTTCCGTTCCCAGTGCTTCCGTTCGCCGCCCTTCTCTCCGCCTCTCTTGCGCCTGAGTTAAGGACTGGGAGGGATCGGCTCCGCCACTGAGCAGGACAGCCCACGGGCGAGGCAGACAGACGCCCTACCTCTTGATTTGGTTATGATGTGACATGCGATGCAACCACGCTGGCCGGAAGCTGGGGCTGCCCTGGCGCGGGGATGGTACCTGGGAGGAGAGGCCAGCCTTCGTATCTTTTGATTTTTCTATCGCTTTTCCCCCACCTCCCCATCCCCATCTCATCCCGTGCCAAAATTCCGGCTGAGTCACTGCACTCCAGAGCGCGCCAGACTGAATGGGGGGGAAGTACAAGGGAGGGGAGGGCCCTGGCGACCCGCGGGATGTGGCCAGAGTCACGTCCTGGGGGGATGGGGGAGGGATCGTATTCTCGCTGCCTTGTCCCCTCCCAAGAGCCGCCTCCTAGCTTCGCCTTTCTGGGCGGCCTTGCGCACTGTCACTCGCCTGCAATTGGACGCCTCCAGTCCCCGGTAAAGGAAAAAAACCCAGCGGAGGGCGGAGCGGTGTCTTTAAAAGACCAGAGTCGCCTCCTCCTGCCCGCCCCCTGCGCCACCCCCTCGGGATCTGAATAGGCTTCGTTCCTCTCGGAACGCGCCGCAGAACCCGGTTCCGGTGACGACTGCAGCGTTCGCATCTCAGTCCACCCGCCAGCCCATCGCCCTCCGCCGCCGCACCCCACAAACCCGCCCCCTTCTGTGCCAGGTGAGCGCCCCTAGCCACGTGCGAGGGTCTGGAACCATGGAGAAGGATCCTGGGGCAGTGGCGGGTCGGGCGCCTTCGCGGAGCCCCCACCCGGGACTGTGGCCAGTATCTTCCCACTACCACCCCACAGACTTGCTCTCAGGCCGCTACTCCCCAACCCTCTCCAGCTCTAGCTCCCTCGGTCAGCTGCGCAACGCAGCAGCACCACGCTGAGTCATGGCGGGGGAGGAAGCAGGACGAGATGAAGGACCATTACCCCAATCCCTATCTTTGCAGGGACCCCCGGTACAAAGTCGTAGGGTCCCTTTGCCTCGATAGAGATCCCGAAAGGCAAAGAGGGGAGGACGCAGCTTATACTTGCCTCAGGATTTGCACAACTGGGTGGCGGGTGATTCCTGCCCTTGGAGACCCTGAGCCCCTCGTACTGGGGGGAAACCCCTCAGCTGGGCCTGATGACCCATTAACACTTTCCCTATCTTTCCTTGTGATCTTGATTCTGAGCCTGGAACAGCTGCAGCCGTGCAAACAGATAGGAGCATTTTTCAGGGAAGGGGTGGGGCGCTTGCCTCCCCTCAACATTCTCTTTCCCTGTATGAGCAGTGAGCACGGGCGAACCTTACCCTTCCCTCCACCTCCGACTGGGCTTGCTGGGCTGCCCTTTCCTGGGCTTTCAATTGCCTCCTACTTTTTTCCTAACACCCTCCCCTCACCCTGGGGGGAGAAGCCTGACCTTGGGATGTCCTTGAAGCCTTGGAGCCTGGGCCAGCCCTGGGATCTTGGGCGGATTTGAAGGAACACCCTAATAGCAGTCAGGAGATCTGGGTTCTAATCTCAGACCTGCCCGCCCCCCCCCCCCCCCCCCCCCCCCCCGCCCCCGTTGTGGTGTGGCTGGATGCACAGATCTTTACCTTCTCTGGGACCTTTCACATGAGATTTGGGGCCCTCTGCCCTACTCATGACCTTTAAATTCTAAAATACTTCGGTTCGGTTTTGTTTCTAGGCAAGGTGACCCCATGGCAAGGCGCAAGCCAGAAGGGTCCGGCTTCAACATGACCCGCCTGTCCCTGGCTATGGCTTTTTCCTTTCCCCCAGTTGCCAGTGGGCAACCCCACTCTCAGCTGGGAAACACCCAGCAACAAACTCAGGAGCAAACCCAGCAACAGACAGAGTTAGGAAAGGTACAGGAGGAGGCAGGCCTAGTATAGGGAAGTCGGGTGTAGGGGAGAGTTGGGGACAGGAAGTGCCCCAGGACCTGCCAGGGTGTGGGGCAGGGGAGGGTAGGGATCGATTCCCCTGACTTCCAAGAAAGGGGCCTGGTTCACTGGGCGACCATGAGAAGTCCCAGCTAACTACTCTACCACCATCTGTCTCCTTTACCCAGGAACCTGCTACCACCAGCACCATGCCCTACCAATACCCAGCACTGACCCCAGAGCAGAAGAAGGAGCTGTCTGAGATAGCTCGCCGCATTGTGGCTCCGGGCAAGGGCATCCTGGCAGCAGATGAGTCCACTGGTACGGTGCTGGCCCAAGACAAGAGTGGGAGGAGGCCCAGGGTTGGAAGTGACAGGTCAATCTCTTTATTCTCCCATGTGATGCTCCCTTCCAGGAAGCATTGCCAAGCGGCTGCAGTCCATTGGCACTGAGAACACCGAGGAGAATCGGCGCTTCTACCGCCAGCTGCTGCTGACTGCTGATGACCGTGTGAATCCCTGCATTGGGGGTGTCATCCTCTTCCATGAGACACTCTACCAGAAGGCGGATGATGGGCGTTCCTTCCCCCAAGTCATCAAATCCAAGGGTGGTGTTGTGGGCATCAAGGTGAGGGAGCAGGGCCTCAGGATTTAAGTTTGGAAATTAATGTGAGGGAAAGGAATCCAGATTAATAGGGCAGGAGATGAATACTGAGTTGGGGGTCTAAAGACTAGGGTGGAGCCTTGGTTACAGACTTTATGGTGTACTCAGACTTGTTTGTGTGGTGCTGGGGATCAAACCCATAGTTTCCTGCATGCTAGGCAGATACTATAGCCGCAGGTGGAGTTTTTTTTTAATGTTTTTTTTTTTTTTTTTTAGTTGTACTGTTTATTTTTATGTGGTGCTGAGAATCGAACCCAGGGCCTCGCATGTGCTAGGCGAGTGCTCTACCGCTGAGCCACAACCCCAGCCCTGGCATTCTTAATCCTTATAATTCTAAGAGCAAGGCATTTTCCCACTTACAGGTGAAAAGCCAGAAGTTCAGGGAGGTAAAATCATTTGCTCGGCATTAGTGAGTGGTAGAGCCCAGGTGTCCTGACACCCAATCCAGTTAATATTCTTGTGGAATAATATTCCAATGTATCACACCTCACAGGTCTGGGTACTATAAGTAAAAATATGGGCAAGCTTGGAGAGGTCGGTGAGAGATTAAGTGAGGTTGGGGTTGAGGGAGGAGGAAAAGATACTAGAGATCATTACCCTCATCCACCCCAACAGGTAGACAAGGGTGTGGTGCCCCTGGCGGGAACCAACGGCGAGACCACCACCCAAGGTGAGAACTGTTTGGATCTTTCCCCTGCCAGCCAGCGAGTGGAGATGCATCCCTCCCTCCCCCACCATGCTCTGACTCCTTCGTTTTCTCTTCAGGGCTGGATGGGCTGTCTGAGCGCTGTGCCCAGTATAAGAAGGATGGAGCTGACTTTGCCAAGTGGCGCTGTGTGCTGAAGATTGGGGAACACACCCCCTCATCTCTTGCCATCATGGAAAATGCCAATGTTCTGGCCCGTTATGCCAGCATCTGCCAGCAGGTGGGACTGCAGGTCCCCAAAAGGCCACCTCCCACCTCATTTGGTCCCAGTATGGGCTAGCTTGCCCCCCATCTGCCAGGATACCTACCTCCCCCAAAGCTGCTGTTCCCATTATGCACTGAACATGAGGCTGGTCCCTGGGAGGACATGCTGTAAGGCAGAGGGGCAGAATAGGGATTGCCTGGGTGGATCTGAGATGCCTGTCAGCAGTAATCCACTGAGGGCTTTGATGCCATGCATTCCTATCATCAAGATAAGATCCTGGCCAATGGCTGTGAGGACCTATGGGTGGGGTTCTAGGTGATAAGGCCTTGTGGCTACTCTGTCCCTCCCCTGACAGAATGGCATCGTGCCCATTGTGGAACCTGAGATCCTTCCTGATGGGGACCATGACTTAAAGCGCTGTCAGTATGTAACTGAGAAGGTAGGTTGCCTGTCTGTTCTGCCGGGATGGTGTGGTGGAATGGGCAGCTGAGCCCAAACCTTGGGCTCACACCCTACCCGTCCACTTTGACTTTGCCCTCTTCTAGGTTCTGGCTGCTGTCTACAAGGCTCTGAGTGACCACCACATTTACCTGGAAGGCACCTTGCTGAAGCCCAACATGGTCACCCCAGGCCATGCCTGCACCCAGAAGTACTCCCATGAAGAGATTGCCATGGCAACTGTCACAGCACTGCGTCGCACAGTGCCCCCTGCCGTCCCTGGTGAGGCCTACCTCCCTTGTCTTGGCCTCCCGGAGGTAGATGAACTGTGCCTACAACCCTGGAGCCCAACTGGTCTGCTTTCCAGGGCAGTGTCTAAGGGCTTCTTCCTGTTTCCTGGGTCTCTGGCTAAAGCCCCACCCCTATTTTGGCCCTTGTTCTACAGGAATCACCTTTCTGTCTGGAGGACAGAGTGAGGAGGAGGCATCTATCAATCTCAATGCCATCAACAAGTGTCCCCTGCTGAAGCCATGGGCTCTGACCTTCTCCTATGGCCGAGCCTTGCAGGCCTCTGCTCTGAAGGCCTGGGGTGGGAAGAAGGAGAACATGAAGACCGCCCAGGAGGAGTACATCAAGCGAGCCCTGGTAAGGCAGGGGCAGATGGTGGCAGGGTGTGTCTGGGTGGATGGGAGGGACTCTGAGAAGAGACCTTCTCACACTGGCTCCTCTCCCCTCTTAGGCCAACAGCCTCGCCTGTCAAGGAAAGTACACCCCAAGTGGTCAGGCCGGGGCTGCAGCCAGCGAGTCCCTCTTCGTCTCTAACCATGCCTACTAAGCTGAGGCATTCTCAGGCTGCCCCCTCAACACTCCAGGCCCCTGCTCACACACACTCTTCAGGAGGGGGCCACATGGGGCTCCAGGCTCTTTCCCATCACTCTTGCCTCCCTCGTGACTTTGGTGTGTGGTGTTTGTGTGCGCTAACTCCATCGCCCCTTCCAGCCCACTGCCAATAAACAACTATTTAAGGGGGAGTCTGTTGTCCGTGTCTTGTGGCATCTAAGGCAGGGTGGGCCAGGGGAGGTGGCTGAGCAGGAAAAGGGTAGAAGGGGTTGGGGTAGGGCTTTCCTCTGTTTTTTACTTACTCAGGGCTTTGAGAAAGGCTGAGAGCTTGTCAAATTTTCTTCTAGGCTCCATCCTGTCTAACTAGCAGTATATGATAAGGTTCAGAGTTGGGGACTACAGGTGTCACCACTTAAATCTTATAAGGCTACAGTCTTGGACTCAAGGGTACAGAAGACCCCATGACTAAAGTAGCCACCACTATGAAAATGGGTCCTGAGATTCCCAATTTATGCTTATCTTGATGCATTGTTGGACACATCTAATGTCCATCTCCTAATCAATGCTATCGAGCTCTATTTCCTCATTTTAATAGGAGATGGGTTTAGAAATAGCTTCTTAAGCCTCTCTGGACCACAGAATGCCTTGAAAAACCTGGAATCTCCCACATACCCGCGCCTTGGTGCAAATACACACAAAATAAACTACAGAGCTCAGGTTCCAGGTTAAGAACTGAGCTGCTGCATTCCAAGAAGCCATAATGAGGGCCCCACATTCAGCCCTAGGCCATGCTGTGAATCCTGTCCTATTACCCAGTCTTGGGTGTAGCAGAAACTAGACCAGTTCCTAGCTGCTGCAGATCTTAGCCATAACTACGGAACTGAGTAGTCCTGCCACTTCACATATTTCTTGCAACCTCCTCACTCCCACCCTTTTCTGGCGCAGATCCTTTCCATTCCAAGCTTCCCTCAAGAAAAAAGTCTTGACCTTTCTGATCTCCCTGATCCTACAAAATTCCGACAGTGATCTACGTAGCACTGACTGGATATCTACCACCTTCTAGGAATTTAAAAACTTAGTCCCTCCCTTCTGTCTGCTTATCCAAAACCAAACCAAACCTGGGCTGGAAGTGTTACCCAGTGGGAAAGCACTTGCCTAACGTGTATGTCCCTGGGTCTGATCCTCAGTACTCCCTGTCGTCCCCCCCCCTGCCAAAAAAACCAAAACCATCTCTATAACTCTTCAAAACTTTGAGTCATTTCTCTTCTTGGCCTCATTCAACTCAGGAAAACAAAATCTGAAGTAAAGCAAGTGAAAACAAGGTCAGTAGAAGATGACACTAAGGACAGCATGATGTATAAAGGCAAGGGGACTGGAAAGACTGTTTAAAGATCAATAGTTACCTCTTCCTGCAGCAAAAGACTAGGGAAGCAGAGGAGTTTTAATGCCAGTTTGGAGAGTGCTGGTCTTTTTAATCTTTATAACAATGTGAGTTCCAGAAGCAGTTGAAGAAAAAAAAAAAAAAAAAAAACCTAGAACTGAGAACACAGCTTTTCTGAATTCCAAATTTTTAGCTCTGCAACCACAACCAAGTTAAGACTTAACTTCTCTGAATCAGTTTCCTCCTCTTAAAAAAGGAATAAAATGTTCAGGCAATAGAATGGTGTCAGGGGTTGATTTTGGAATAGGGATGTCGTGACGCTGACTGAGGCACAGGCTTAGAGCAGGAAGGGCGCGATCCTTTCTGCCCCAAACTTTGGAGCTCCTCTCTGACAAAGATTTCTCTGGGGCAGTGGGAAGAGACTTGGGTTGTGATTTCTTCCTTCACTGAATATTTATAAATGTCTACTGGGCCAAGACTTCCCCTAAGCACTGGAGCTGCAATAGCGAACAGCTCCCAGGATTGTAGAAGGGGAGGCACGATGAAATGGGTAAACAAAAATTTGTAATATGAAGTGATTCAGCCTAGCGAGAGCCCAGCTTCATCTCGGTTTTCTTACTGTAACGGTAGGGGGTTGGTCTGCGTCTCTAACACCTCGCAGCGCCCAGGTGCCCAGTCCACATCCGCTGCCGCCCACTTCCTTCAGCTCTCCCATTCTCCGCCTCCAGGGGTGGCGATCAGGGCGCGGCAAGGGAGAGGGGAGGCGTGTGTATGACGCCACATCCGGCGCGCGCCGGAACTGGCCTCCCTTTGCTTCCGCGGCGGGGCCGGAAGTAGAAGCGGCGGTGGCGGCGGCCCAAAGCAGAGGGAAGGAGGGAAGCAAGCGAGTCCGAGAGCCCGAGCCGGAGTCGCAGCGGCGGTAATAGTCTGAAGCCCCTCTAGGCCACCGTCCTTAGCGCGGGACCGCGGGGTTCGACGGGAGTTAGTGGGGGGGGTGCGGCCTGAGCGGTGGGACGCTGGGGATCCCGGGGCTGATGTGAGGGGAGGCGGGGGGGCCGGCCCCAGAATTTAGTCGCCCCCCCCCCGTGCCCCTCACGGACACTCTCATCCGCGGGCTGGTCTTCTTTCCCAGGAGACCCCTGTGCGGTGCGGAGGGGGCGGTGGCCCCAACTCTGACCCGCGCCGGGGGGGGTGGGCCATGGCGGAGATCAGCGACCTGGACCGGCAGATCGAGCAGCTACGGCGCTGCGAGCTCATCAAGGAGAGCGAAGTCAAGGCCCTGTGTGCTAAGGCCAGGTGAGCCCCAGAAAAGTGAAGCCAAGCTGCCACCCAGGGGTTCCGGCCTGGGGCAGACCCAGCTCAGAACTTTGGGCTTGTCCCATGTTGGAAGCTTTTCCGAGAGGAGCAGAATAGGTCCGCTTTCCTCCAGGAACTACCTAGTCTGCCAGGGGAAGGTAGATGTGGGTAAAGACTTGAAAATATTAGATTTTATGCTTTGAGTGGAATAAAGGAGAGTTACAGAAAGTACTTAGAAAACTCAGGGAAACAACATTGGGGCAAACAGAAGCAGCTTCTTGAAGGGGCTGAGCTCAGGAAAAGAATACAAAGAGGTGTAAAAGGAGTGTTTGCAAGAACAGAAGTTAAAGGCATTGACTTATGAAATGATCTTAATCCCAACAACAACCCTTTAAAAGAGGTGGTTTTGTCCCCGTTTTACAAGTGAAGACTTTGATGTTCAAAGTTTCCAGGAAGTGTGGAATGGAGTCTGAAGCTATTTTGTGTCCTGACATTTTTCAGGCCATATGCAGTAAGGTGGAGTTGGATCAGTCTCATGCTTAATCTAGGAGGTAAATAAGCCAGAGTAGAATTAAGCATGATCTAGATGGACACCCACTTAAGAGTTCTATGAGAAGTAGAATGATGTAGTGATTAAGGGTCCAGGTTTTGGAATGCGGTGACTCTAGGTTTGAATCTGAACTCTGCCTCTTACAAATGTTGGTGATCTGGTGCCTCAAGGAAAAAAAAGTTTGTTTTGTTTTTTTTGTACCAGAGATTGAACCAAGGTGCAGTTAGCCACTGAGCCACATCCCCAGCCCCTTTTTAATTTTTTTATTTTGAGACAATCTCACTGAGTTGCTTAGGACCTTGCTAAGTTGCTGAGGCTGGCTTTGAATTTGTGATTCTCCTGCCTCAGCCTCCCAAGCTGCTGGGATTACATGCATGCATCAGTGCATCCACAAGGGCAAGTTTCTTTATTTGTAAAGTGGAGATGATCATGCTTAGTAAGATGGTTGTGAAGCTACATTCAGTGAACTGGTGCTTGAGGTAAATTTTTGGTCCAGTGTAAATGGCTTGACAAACACTAGGTGGTATTATTGCTATTTGAAAAGGCAAGAATCATATGGGCTGAAACTATCAGTAAAGGCTTCTAAGAGAAGACGGGTACAAAGGATAAAGATAATTTTGGTTATCTGATAGGGGCAGAGCCAGTAAGAAAAGGCATTCCAAGTAGGATGAGAGGAGCAGAGGACTAAAGATATGTGGGCAGCAATTGAGGAGACGGTTTTCCTGCTTCCTTTAGCGAACTGTTTGTGACTTCCAAGCTGGAGAATTATAGAAGAGCTGGAGAATTACCTGTTTATTGAACAATAGATCCACTAGTAACCTGGTCCCCCATCATCCTCCCATCCAACAAACCTATAAGGTTGGAATCTAATTTGCTCCATTTTACATAAGAACAGAAAGGCACAATTATAGGTCTAGTGACTTGACTGATATCACCTAGTGAGGAAGTAACAGAGCTGGGTTCTAAATTTGTGCCCCTGATATTATTTGGTTGGCTCTTCTCCACTCAAGACAGACTCTTAGCAGTCAGACAGGACCTGTGTGGGATTGATAAACAGACTAGGCCCCTTTTAAAATGCCTGTATGGAGCTTTACTCTTTTGACAGCTCAAGAAAATCTGCTTGCTGGGTGCAGGAGTGCACACCTATAATCCCAGCTACTCGGGAGACTGAGGCAGAGGATTGCTTGGGCCCAGGAGTTCAAGGCCAGCTTGGCAACAAAGTGAGATCCCATCTCAAAAGGAAAAGAAAGAAGAGACAAGAAAATCTCCCTGACCAAACCAGCTCTAGGATGTTTTCAGTTCTCTTTCCCTCGATTCTGATTGGCATTTTTAGGAACTTAAACCTGATATTGTTCTTTTTTTTCCCCATAAATTTTATCTTCCCCACAGGACTTGGATCAGTGTGGTAGTGATTATAGCTAATGCTGGGATAGCATGCTGGAGTTTTCAGAATAAGCAAATTTATGTGTGCAGTCTCCATTCCAACAGCCCTATGGAATATGCAGGACAGGAGGAAGCATTTACTCTATTTTATAGAAGATCAAATTGAACCTTAGTGTAGATATCTAGTCTTACACTTTGTCACACAGTAAGTTAGCAAGTTCAAGAGGAAATGAGTTTTGAGCCCAGGTCCTTGACTATGCTCCATGGTCATTGATAGCCAGGCAGAGACATTTCGATATGGGGTATGATAGGCAGCAGGGAGCTCTGGAGGACTGAGGGGTGGGAGGACCCTGCTTAATTGAGACTGAAATGTAGCTAGAAGGTACTAGGTTGAGGTTTGAGGTGGCCTCTGTTATCTTAGGCTTAGTCAGAATGGGGACCAATTTTAGCACTTGGCCATGGCCTGGGGACCCGTCAGAGACTGGCTGAAGCCAGTAGTTTCAAACGCTTCAGCTTACTGAGAGGGTACATAGAAAAAATTAAACCCATGGAACCACAGAGGCCTGCAGTAGTTTGAACTGAAAAGTTTTTGTATTGGGCACTCTTCGGTGTGAATCTCAGCAGTGTGACCCTGGTCAAGTCACTTTACCTATATAAGTTTTTTTGAGTCATTGTGAGGCCTGAATGAGATTCTGCCTATCCAGGAACAGGGCCTAGCACATTATTAGGAACTTACAGAAGGTTTGTTAGTTGTGGAAATAATGGGGAACAGTTGTGAGTCACTGTAGGGCTAGTGATGTGCTGCAAGTGATAGCTGGTGTCAGAGAACCTGGTTCTTGTTCCTTGAGTGCACCAGTGCTGTGCTGCCCCTGAGTTATGGTTTTGCAGAGAGGAAGACTCCTGCATTTGACCTTTTTGGGTTTCAGGTGTGTCTTGGGTTTAGTTGAAGAGGCTGGCATAAATTCTCATGAGATTGAGCTCCCGAGTTCCAGTTCAGCCACTCTCCAGCTTTGTGGCCTCGACTCTGCCACTTTAAGCCTTGCTTTGTTTATCCATTAGATGAGAATGAAAAGAACCCCCTCACCCAGTCTCTTGGAAGGGTCATTATAAACAGTTGCTATGGAAGGATATTCATCCCAAGATTCAGTACAGGTGGGAGAACCCAGTTGCTCTTTTGGCCTCCTGGACCACCGTCAGTGCCACCTCCTGTTCGAGAAAGCTAAGGCATACCTGCCTTGTGCTCAGAGAGTCCCCTGAGGGACAGATGTGAATCCTCCCATTCCCTGTACCTGGGGAACTCCCTTAGTGGGAAGAGACTAGCAGAAACAGTGGGGTGGAGGAGGAGCAGCCTGGGGCCACCCCCCATCAGAATAGCTCCATAAAAAGAGTCAAGCCCCCTCCTTTAACCCTTCCCACGAAAAAAAAAAAAAAAAAGGCTGGAGCCAGGCTTCTCTGGTTCAAATCCCACCTTTGCTTCTGCCACCCACCCAGCAGCCTCCCATGTTTCAGCTTATACATCCTCTCTGTGAAACATCTGTTCTTGCCTTTGAGGGTGACTGATGGGGGGCATCTGTGCATAGCTCCTTATAAACAGTTGTGGCCTGTGGTGTGAGCCCCAATGTTCAATGCTGCTCTTATCAGGAGCAAAATTTGGAAATATAGGTGCTACTTAAGCTTGGCACCTATAACTGCCAAAGTGATTTATGTCATCCTCACTCAAGTGGAAGTAGACTGCATTTCCAGAAATAAAGTCCGCACCTTCTCAGGTGTGCGGGGACATCCATGGACAACATTGAAATAAATGTTGAAAATGTAGGAACAGTGCATCCTCCCTTTGAAGGTACATCTGATGGTTGACCTGCCGGGGATACCACCCTTGTCTTTGGACAGTCTGGGAGAAGGGTCTTGGGACTGGTAGACTGATATCAGACTTCAGTTATGGGACAGTTAGGGAAAGCTCTAAGGGAACAAGGGGCTCTGTCTCCCAGGAATAAGTACTGGATACCTGAGAGGGAGTAGCAGGGGAGTCAAGGCTGGAAGTCACAGTCTGCATGGAAGGGCTTGGATACTGGGATGAGAGCTGGGACTTTGTCCTGTTGGCAGCTGGGAGCTTTGGAAGGGGTTGAACAGTGGAGGGCCATGGTCAGCTGATCTTAGGGAAATTGAACACTTCACTCCTGCCCCCTGGCGGTTCAAGGACCACCTCATGTCCTCCCCTCCCCCCCAAAAAAGGTCAGGAATTGGGCTGGGCTGTCCTGGCTGTGGTGACCCTGGTCTTCTCCTGTCTCCAGAGAGATCTTGGTAGAGGAGAGCAATGTGCAGAGGGTGGACTCCCCAGTCACCGTGAGTATACTCTGTCCCTGAAGCCCTGGCTTGATCTTTTGAAACACCATAAGTCCATCCCTCATTCCTGGGGTCCCAGGGAGCCCGGTGTCTGTCTCCTCTCCTTTCTTCATGGGTGCCCCACTCTAAGAAATGCATGTTTTGGGAATTTTGATTTGTTTGGGATGCTCTTGGCTAGGGCAGGGGGGAGTCCAGTTTGGTGAGTGACTCTGGTCACATTTCTGTGGCTCTGCATCTGTAGTCATATTCTGGGTACTTGGAGGGAGGGAGGGGCCAAGTCCTCCAGGAGCAGTCAGTAGCATTGGGGGAAAAAAAAAAAAACAGTTCTGGCCCCTGCCAGTGGGGCAGTTGGCACTCAGGGTGGGATGGCGGGTGACACTACAGCAGGCTGACTCTGGGCAGATAGTAGATGTCCAGCCTGGAGTTGTGGCAGCCTCAAGAGCCATGAGTCTCTTGAAAGCATGGGGTGTTTTGGGAACAGAGGGGCCATCCTTCTGACCACTGCGTGAGTGCCAACCCACCTTCATACTTTTCAGGTGTGCGGCGACATCCATGGACAATTCTATGACCTCAAGGAGCTATTCAGAGTGAGTGTAGGGGAAACTGGGGCTTGTGAGCTGGGAGTGACTGGAGGCCCCACTTATTGACAGGGAAGTCCTTCCTTTGGTGGCATGAAGGGGAGCAGGAAGCTTCTAGTTGGATGGACCTTTTGTGAAAGAAGGGCCTCAGCTGGATAGGAGCATGGGCCGCTGCAGTGGTCCAAAAGACCAAGCAGAACCTTCTTCCTCCCCACAGGTGGGTGGCGATGTCCCTGAGACCAACTACCTCTTTATGGGGGACTTTGTGGACCGTGGCTTCTACAGTGTTGAAACCTTCCTTCTACTCCTGGCACTTAAGGTGGGAGCCCCTGGCTTCTAGAGCCCATGCCTGGGCCATCCCAGGCCAGCCTTTCTGTATCCTGGCCACCGTCATTTTTTCCCTTCCATTTTTCCACTTTGGAGCTGTGCTGCTGGCTCTGGACTGATTCTGTTTGGTGGGCTGTTGCCTTGACTCAGGGCCACCTGCCTCAGCCTTGGACAGTGAGGCTAATGGGGCAGCACTGGGAGAGAAAAGAGAGGCTGGCTTTGTTGAGAAGGTGGCAGTCACTGAGGATGGCTGGATACAGTGTCCATTGGTGGAGAGAGATGGAGGGGCCAGAGAGCCTTGAGCATCACGGAGGACCCGGGTCTGGCGGGTAGAAGAGTAGCCATTGGGTTTGTAACTGAAGGGGGGAGGGGTCTGTTTACTTCCTCTGAAAGAGGAGCTAGGGACCTGTGAGGCAGATGACACTGTATGATTTATGCAAGAAATGACATGAGTCTAGGCCAGGACAAAGGTTATGAACACAGAGTGAGGCTGTCAGACATGTGGAGAAACAGAGCTTGGATCCCAGCCCTGGTTTGGTGGCCACGCCTAGGTTCGCTATCCTGACCGCATCACCCTGATCCGGGGCAACCATGAGAGCCGGCAGATCACGCAGGTCTATGGCTTCTATGATGAGTGCCTACGCAAATATGGTTCGGTGACTGTGTGGCGCTACTGCACTGAGATCTTTGACTACCTCAGCCTGTCAGCCATCATTGATGGCAAGGTAGGCTGGCCACGGGACTCCTTGGGGCGGGAGTGATGGGGGAGACTCTGGATCTGTGCCTCCTCCCTCCTGGTCTCGCTCTTCCCTCTAGATCTTCTGTGTGCATGGGGGCCTCTCCCCCTCCATCCAGACTCTGGACCAGATCCGGACAATTGATCGAAAGCAGGAAGTGCCACATGATGGACCCATGTGTGACCTCCTCTGGTCTGACCCTGAAGGTGAGGGGTGGGCAGGTGGGGCAGGGCCAGTCTGGCAGTACCTTCATTAGTTGAGACTGGTTAAAGCAAGGACCTTGACGGGACAGGCCAGACAGGAAGGGTCTAGGGAGGAGGAGGGCAGGGCTGGTCCACACTGCCTTTTGTCCTCCACCTGTAGGCTGGCTGGACCCTCCATGGGGAGCAAGGGGGTATGTTGGATCCCATAGAGGGGGTCATGGTCAGAAGACTGTTTAGGACAAAATCATTGGCTCCCTGCATGGCAAGGGGCTTCAGGACCTGACAGCAGCTTCTTCATAGGTCAGACTTCGGAATGAAAGCTCCCTAAGGACCCCTCGCGTTGTGGGAGTCCCTGCTGCTGTGGAGTAGAGCTGAGAGTTACAGTCAGGACTCTTGAGTACCAGCCGAGGGCCCAGCCTCCCCTTTGTCACTGCCATTCAGACTGCCCTGCCAGGTCTAGGGTGACCTTTCACTCCTCCTGGGCCACGACAGTGCTTATTCGCGCTGATACTGCTGGTGGCTCTCACGAGCACCTCCTCTCACTTGCATGCACACCTGTTTGGACAGTCCATTGAATGGTCACTGTGATTAGGAGGTGGAACCAGACCCCAGCATTCTTTCTCCAGCTCATCCGCTCCAACATTTGCAGTCCTCTCCCCCAGAATCCCCTGGAACATATATATTCCAGGGGAATCTTGCTGCCCGGGACTCTGGTTGATTGGAGAAAGGTGACAGGATATTCACCTTTAAGGGGCAGTGGGCAACCAGAGAAGCCTTGAGGACCTCCTCTCCCCATCTCTACCTTATTTGCCTCAGACACAACAGGCTGGGGTGTGAGCCCCCGTGGAGCCGGCTACCTGTTTGGCAGTGACGTGGTGGCCCAGTTCAACGCAGCCAATGACATTGATATGATCTGCCGTGCCCACCAACTAGTGATGGAAGGTTACAAGTGGCACTTCAATGAGACCGTGCTCACTGTGTGGTCAGCACCCAACTACTGCTACCGGTGAGCTGGTGGGACGGGGAGGTCAGGGTGGTGATGGGGAACCTAGGCTGACCCGTTCCTAACTCTGCTGCCCCCTATTTCCAGCTGTGGCAATGTGGCAGCCATCTTGGAGCTGGATGAGCATCTCCAGAAAGATTTCATCATCTTTGAGGCTGCTCCCCAGGAGACACGGGGCATCCCCTCCAAGAAGCCGGTGGCTGACTACTTCCTGTGACCCTTCGGCCCTGCCCCCTCCAACTTTTCTGGCCCTTGGACCACTGTGACTCTGCCCTCTCCCCAGTCGGAGGCTGGGCAAGGAGGGGCTGTCCCCAGCTCTGCTCTTCCCCCAAGAGGGCGTTTCAAGGGTGAGGACTTTCTCTGGAGAGGTTTGGAGCCTTAGCTCCATGCTCCTCCTCTCCTTTCTCCCCACTTGAACCATGAAGTTTCCAGTAATTTTTTTTTTCTTTTTTCCTTTTTTTTGTTTGTTTTTAGATAAAAGTTTTGAGAAAAAAAAGAAAAAAAAATTCTAATAAAAGAAGAAAAATGGTTGTTGGGTTTATGTCAGTTTTGATTGGGGGTGAGCAGAGATGATGGCCTGGGACCTGGGTGGGCATCAGGACCTTCACTCCTTGGCCCTAATCCTGCCAGGAAGGCAGCTCTCCGTTCAGTCCACTTGCCCAGAGCCTCCAGTGACCACTCCCAGAGGCCTCCTCCGTGCCGGGTAAATTCTCAAAACAGCTAGTGTTAGGAAATTCAGATTTCCTCCATTTTCCTAAAGAGGAAAGTGGCCCAGAGCAGGTTGATTGGTGAACACAAGGTCATAGAGCTGGAAACAGGCAGTTCTGGATCTGCCTGGGTTACCCCACAAAGCCTTCATTGGCCCAGCCCCGCCCAGGGCCAACACCACAAGCCCAATGTTTCCTGAGCACTGATGTCTTTTTGAGTTTTATTAACAAAAATACTCTGGTCCTGAGAACAGACTGGTGTGGCTTGCAGTGGTGGCAAGTGGGGCCACAGGAGGTGGAGATGCTGGGCTGTCCCCATTTGGCCAGGCAGAGAGCCTCCTTCCATTCACACGGAGGTGAGAGCCGGGAAGGGGAAGCTGGCCCCAGCTGGACTCCCAGCAGCCTGGCTTGGGCTTTGAAGCCAGAGGGGGTGGGAGTGAAATCAAGGTGTGAAGTGGGGTGGGGGACAGGCCCAAGGCAGCCATTTGGTGTGGGGGATGGGGACAGTGGAATGAGGGGGCTTCAGTGCTGGGGGAAGGGAACTGGAGATTGTGATGGAAGATGAGGCAAAGGGGCCCTGTGACGGCTCAGTACATTGGTTTGGAACCCACATCCAGGTATCCCCCAGGGCCTGGGTATGGCAAGGGGAAGGGGCCCCCTTGAAGGAAGTGTGGAGCAAAGGATGCTCCGGGTGGAGCTGCTGGGTACCCTGAGCCCCCGGGCCCAGGCTGCAGCTCCAAAAATGCAGCTGAGTAGGGGGCTGGGCGCCCAGAGTCTGGAGCCTCAGGGAAAGTAGGGTTCCTGAAGTAGAAAGACAGCTGTCAGAACAGGAGAGAAGGGACACCTGGAAGGAGCATTCCAACCCTGTGTCCTTGTCCCACTCACCTGGTTGGTAGGTGATTGGGAGCCCCATGGAAAGCTGCGGGGTGCAGGAGATAGGCCTCAGCACTGGGGCCACCACATGGAGGAGCTGGGGCAGGAACAGCTTCCTGGGGAGCTGAGGACTGCTCTGGATCTGACTCATGCACGTCCCCACCCAGGGTGGAGTCACAGGGACCCCCTGGTGTATCTGGGGAGACAGAAGGGGCAGGTTGGGCCAGGGAGGATCAGTGTCATAGGCCTGGCCCCATCACTATTAGGACAACTCACCTCCACTCCCATAGGCCTCTGTGGCTACTGGCTCTGGGCCTCGAAGTTTCCTCTTCACACGGGCATCCCGCTCCCTGGGGAACAGTGGTGATGATGATGATGATGATAATGATGATGATAGTAATGATGATGATGGCACTATTAGTACTTACCAGGTGCCAGGCATTTCACCCTCCCAGGAACCCTATCAGGCAGGTGCCATTATTATACCCATTTTACAGATGAAGAAACTAAAGGCCAGAGAATTAAGGGATTAGAAAGCAGAACTGGGGTTTATTCCCCACTTGAACTTTCAGTGCCCTACTGTTTTTAGAATCAGTGGAAATTCTCCCAAGCTGCAAATCTAAGGCATGGCCTGACCCCAGCCCATTTCCCTCTGCCCCAATCTCCATCAGCTACCATCTCCTACCCCCTCTTCGCCTACTGAACTCATCCCTTTTGTCTTAGGTAAAGTAAAACTTCCTCAAGAAAGACCTCCCTGTCCTCCCACAGTGCCACAGACCCTTCCTCATGCTGTTTATCACAGTCACACTTTTACATTTGATAGAATGATCCTGTGGGTCGTGTCTATCTCTTCTGACAGAGGGTAAGCTCCTTGAGGGTAGGGGTCCACCTGGAGGAGGCTGTACTCAGATGCCCAAGTCCTTGCTACGGAGCCTAACCTAGCTTCCCATCACCTCCCTGACTCGCCTTTTCACCGACTCCACTCCACTCACATGGTAGGTATGTCCTGCCTCAGGACCCTTGCACACACAGCTCCCACTCCCAAGCATGCTTCTTCCCACTTACCACATGGCTTCCTCTACTTCCTTCAGGTCTTTTCTTAAATGTTCTTTCCTTGGGGAGGCCTTCCTAGGCCATTTATCCACCTCCTCACCCCAGCCTTCCTATCCCTTCCCTGATATATTTCTCTTTAGAACGTAATGCTAACTTATATTTTATTTATTTTGTTTACTTACTCATTAGCATTATCAGCATCATGAGGACACGGGCTTTGATTTGCTTTGTTTACTTATGTGTCCCCCATGCCTAGAACAGTGGCTGGCATACAGCAGGTGCTAAATAAGCATATTCGTTGACTCAATGAGTGAATAAATGTTTTTATTTACCATTGCATTCCTGACATCTGACACAGTACTGGGCACATTAGTGAGCAATTAATAAATATTGTTGAACGGATCAGCGAATGGACAATGCTCACCTCTTGCAGTTTCTGCCATTCTCTCGGAAGCCTTTGGCAAAGGGATTGGCTGCAATCTTGAGTTGTGTGATCTGGGGGCACAAATCCAGGTCAAAGCTCCTGCAGCCTGGGCAGGGTGCTGTTACCCTCTCAAGCAGAGTCACTCACCCGTGGGTTCTGGTAGGCTGTCACAGAGATGAACGTGGTCTCAGGGAAGCGAAAAGAGGCCACGCCCCCCCAGTGCTGGCTACAAAGCTGGGCGGCCCGCACAAGGTGTATGCGGGGCTGATACTTGTGCATGGAGTGCAAGATCAGCTGGAAGGGAAGAAACGGGAGTGATTCCTTGTTTGGGGGCCCCAGCCTTAGCCTCTACCTAGCACCACCCCTAACCCCTATCCTGGAGTTCCAGCTTGGGCCTCACGTGGCCATGGGGGTCCAATGTGCTATTGGTGAGCTTGACACGATGGAAGGACACAGGCTGCCGCATCCAGTGGGCACCAGTGGCAGGAGAATCAGGGTGAATATAGACACGATCAGGCAGGCGGGGCTCTGCCTTGCCGCTGGGCTCCCAGCGCCGGCCCTGCCAGCGGTAGCGAGCCCCATCCACTGGAACCACATCCAGAAGAAACAGGTAGCGGGCCTCAGGGTCCAGGCCAGTGACTGACACTCGGCAAGCAGGAAACATGCGCCTGCACAAGGCAAGAGAAGGGAGAGGCCTGGAGCTACCTACTGGCCAGAGGCCAGCCTAGCACCAGTAAGGGAACATCAGGTAGTCAGTTCTGGCAGAGAAACATCAAGGGAGGTGGAATTAGAACCCAAAGGCAGAATCACAGAGTTGGAAGACTGACTCCATTTTACAGATGGAGAAACAAATAGGTAATCTGACCAGGATCACAAAGCAGTTTAGAAGCAGAGCCTACTTGCTGGAGGAGTTGTGGCTAACTTTTCTCCCTGAAATAATGCCAGGAGTCTCATGCTCCCCACCTTGGTTTCCTTATCTGATCTCTATCACCAGCCCCTACAGTTGTTAAGTTGCTTCAGAAAAAATAAGACCCTACCTTCAGAGAGGAGAGGATTTACCATGCTAGGGCCTGAGCTCCTGTCCAGATAAAGATCTTGCACAGGCCACACACTGATCACTTGAGCCTCAGAGGTCAGCCCAGACCTAGTCACATATTCATTCCTATTCAAATTAAACATGGAGCTGATCCAGGTTTCCCTGAGACTGGCCACCAGCTTGATCCCAGACAGTCTAAATCCTAATTCCAGCCACAGACCCACTCCTGATCTAGGCCACACACTAACCTATAAACCAGTCAGACTTCCTGACCTTGGTTCAGACTGATCTGTGACCCTTAATAGATTGGCCCCCAAACCCAACCACAGACTCCAAAATTGACCCTTGACACTTGCCATAGTCCTGATTCCATCCATATTCACTCATGCCCCAGGCCATAGTCAAATTCTGAACTTGGGCTGAACTCCAGCCCTGAAGAAACTCCCAAACCCAGTCTGGTGTCCAGGATCTATCTTTTCCAAGAGACCCCAGAAGAAATTGATTCGGCTAGCCCTCACCTGCCGGCTTTGGTGATGATCATCTCTGTCCCCACAGCGTTGAACTCCTTCCACAGCTCCTGGTTCTCCAGGCTCAGGCTGACCCCAGGGAGGGAATGAAGGGCTTCTGCAGCTGGTGGGGCTGGCTCAGTACCCAGGGTAGGGGGCAGTAGGGGCAGAGGTGGGGCTGCAGCTAGGGTGCGGGGACCAGCCTCAATCCCGGACAGGAAGCAATCCAGTTTAGGGGTATCCAGATCTGGAGATGTGGGGAGAATGAGAAACCGGCCTAGGGTCACAGCCGCCAAAACCCCTAACTAGCAGCAGGTCCCACCGCTCACCAGGGTAGCGGTAGCCCTCTGCCAGGGCAGGAGGGAAGCTGGAGTCCCCACCGGGTTGGGGGGGCCCCAGACGGTAGCCGGTCCCCAAGGAGGGGTACAACTCTCGTGGATGGTACATGTTGTAGTCCCTCTGGCTTCAGGTCACGCTGCCTATAGTGCTGAGAGATGCCCCCTTTATAGCTCACAGCTCAGCCCCTTCCAGACCTGGGATCACAGCCCCTCCCCTCTTTGAGGCCCTGGAGGTGGGCTGGAGTGGAAACCCCTGGGGCCTCGAAGGGGTCCAAGAGGGGGCCGGATACCTGTACCTTCCCCTTCCCCTCCCCCATGGGCGGCTTCATTAGCCCCGACCCCCTGCCCCCTCATTACATAATTAACTCCTCGGCCTGATTGATCCCCAGGGCTCGGACAGGGACGCAGTTTGGCGCTTCCGGACAGCTGGTCCCCGTTCCCACGGGGGGAGCCCCGGCTAGGGACAAGCTACGGGGGGCGGGGCCTGGACCCTGGGACCTAGCCCGTAGTCCTGAGGCAGACCCTGGCGTCCCAGATTTTCTTGCTAGTAATCTCCACGCCCTTACTTGGGAGAACTAGGCTTGGAGGAAAGG